CAACGCTGTCAGCAACTGAAGTCAACTATGCACCTATTGAAAAGGAATGTCTGGCCATCAAGGTAGCCTGTACAAAGTTCTACCAGTATCTTTATGGTAAACAAGATGTTATAGTACATTCTGATCACCAGCCGTTAGAAACGATTTTCAAAAAACCCCTGAGTAGAGCCCCAAGACGCCTTCAACGGATGATGCTTCAGCTACAGCCGTTCAAGTTCACAGTAGTTTACAAGAAAGGCAAGTACATGTACTTGGCCGATACACTGTCGAGAGCCGCCTTGAACCTCCCTCCACCCTCAGACCCTCAAGAAGAGGTGTTCCAGTGCAACTCAGAGGATGCACTAGAGATGTTCCGGGTAGAACTGGAGACCATGGAACTAGACTCCCCTGACATGTATCCTAGCACCCTGGAGGAAATTAAAGCTGAAACCGAGGCGGATCCTACCCTGTCGGTCCTATGTATGTTCGTGGCCCATGGTTGGCCCTCCGACAAATCACAGGTGCCCACAGCACTCCGTCATTACTATCCGTTAAGGGATGAGCTAGCGGTATACAATGGTGTATTGTACAAGTCCCACAAAGTCCTCATTCCCGGGAAGCTACAGTTAAATATGCTGAAAAAACTCCACCGCGGTCACCAGGGCGGTGAAAGCATGATTCGCCGGGCTCGAGAAGTAATGTACTGGCCTGGAATGCAAGCTGCAATCCTTCAAGAGAGTGCCAAATGTTCATTGTGTGCTAGCTATGGTTCAGCCCTCCCAAAGGAACCAATGTTGTCTCATGAAATTCCACAAGGCCCATGGAAATTTATCTCGCAGGACCTATTCAAGCAGGGTGGGCGTTGGTATTCTGTTACGGTAGACCACTACAGTGACTGGTTTGAGGTCGATCTGTTGAATGAAGACATCACTGCTGCCCATGTTATCTCAGTCACAAAGGCGCACTTTGCCCGTTATGGTATACCAGATATATTTTTGTCCGACAATGGACCTCAGTATACCTCTCAGGAATTTTCGAATTTTGCCAAGACCTGTGGTTTCACGTTGATTACCCGGTCACTGTATTATGCTAGAGCTACCGGTAAAGCTGAAGCTGCCGTTAAGGAGGCCAAGAAGATGTTAAAAAAGTCAGACCTCTGCACTGGTCTCTTAGACCATAGGAACACTCCGCCTCAGGGTATGTTTTACTCTCCGGCACAAAGGTTTCTCTGCCGACGAACAAAGTCTAACTTACCAACATCTGAATCATTGTTGAGCCAATCTGTACCACCTGTAAACGTAGTCCGTGACGAGCATCTGGGTAGGCGAGCTAAAGCCAAAGCTCATTATGACAAAACTGCCAGCAGAGACTTACCCCCTCTTACGCCTGGACAGTATGTGTTCACCAGGCCAAATGACCATCACCATGGTGAACAGTGGGGTCACGGCGAAGTCTTGGGCGAAGTAACACCACGCTCGTACGTGATAAAAACGCAAGACGGGTTGGTTAGACGGAACAGGATCCACTTAAGACCTAATGAGCGCCAGGTCTCATGTGACCCACAACCCTTGCCAGAACAACCAGTAATAGATAGTGGTGTGGATGTCGGAAATTCTGCGGACACCATAGTGCCTAACCCCACTTCCGAGTCCACGAATGAGAATTCACTTCCACCAGTGCAAACCTCGCGTTATGGCCGACCAATTAGACCACCAAAGAGGCTGGACCTTTGAAACTGGAGACTAGAGTGCAGCATGGTACTCGATGTTGACTATTATCTGATATTGCCTGTTCACATTTGTTAGTGTTAATGACTTACTATGTTTTTCTTGTATTATTATTATTATTTTTCGAAACATATTAACATGTTAATAGTTTTCTTTGAAAGGGAGGATGTTGATAGGAGACAATTCTGTCATGGTAAAGAGGGGTCAGCGGTGTTCCGCGTGGGCCGTATTGTATTGTATGAAGATGGCTGCATGTGCTCTGAGAATAAAGTGTTGTGTTCTCGAAAGCTGTTGTTCCTTTGATGGAAGCTTCCCCAGCCGGTCAACAGACCGCTGTAAACTTGCCTTATAACAAAGCAAGATATTTAATTTTAAAGCGATTAATTTTCATTCTACCTTTTTTTCTTCATAATTAACAAACTTGCGAAATGAATATTTTCTACGACTACTGTTATCTGCTTTTAAGACACTGATATATGAAAGAAAAAATGCAAGACTAAACATTTTGCCGAGAGGAACTTTGTACGTACAAATAAATAAAGAGAGAAGCACTTTAAAAACAAGAGAATTGCGTAGAAAAACTTTAAAATGTCACGTTACACACAAACAACAAAAAGCTTCATTTTACCTTTAGCCGGCTCTTTGTGCTCACTGACGTCCTTGGAGCGTCGCTCTCGGCGGAAAAACCGCATAAATTTCAGCATTTTAAAGATACAAGTTGTTGTGTGTTTCATCTCTTCACACATGAGTCGATAGGGATCTTCAAGAAGTGAACTTAACAGTAAGCGAATGCATTATGACAGGTCGTGCCAGAAACATCACAGAATACACTCGAAACAAATGACACAACAATGACAGAAAGCTTCAATTTACATTTCTAATTATAAAATTTAATACGGACTTTGTCTTTCGGTTAAAATTTGTAACGACGAATCAATTCCCTCATTTCGGCCGCAGAATTGTTATCTCAAAATCCAAGAATGTCGACGTTGTTATCAAACTCTGAAGATCAGAGCGATGAACGACAGAGATTTTTAACACAGTATTAGCAAACAATAATTTAAAGAAAACTAGATTAAAATCCTCGGAGTGAAATAACGTCAAGTTTTTCATTTCTTGCTTTAATATTACTTATAAGTCAATTAATTATCTGGGAAAATGTTTTGACAGCAAAACTCATTTAGAAAACCACACTGGTCTGCAATTGTAGCAGGGAAATAGGAAATAAAGGGATTTCCAAGAATTTTCCTAATGGCCAAGTTTTTTTTGTGTTTGTTTAAAATTATCGATTTTTCTAAAAACGAAGGTATCAAGTACATCTCAGGATGGTTTCACCAACCTTTTTGTCGAGAGAAGTAAAGATTTCTGTTAAATACTTATTGCCTGTTGACTTGTAGTAAGCCTGATTTAATGAAACTCTCATCGAGGTCTCAGTGACCTTTCGTCGAGGAAAGTAAAGATTTCTGTTTAATATTTATTGCCTGTTAGCTTACACTAAGCCTGATTTAATGAAACTCCTTTACACACGCAATCTTCAAGAGGAGAGTTACCCACTCGATCTGTATGGACAACCTTTTAAAAAAAGAGCCCGATTTAAAACCCACCAAAAAAATATTTACTTATAAACCAGGGTAATAGAGTAACCATTGTCCCTGAAACTGAAGCCAATCCTGATTAGGTCACATATGGTTAGTGGTAAGACTTTTCAGTCGCTATTTCTGAATCACTTTTAGCGCAAATTACTTGTATCCTCAGAAGAGTAAACATTGCACTTTCACACTGACATGTTTAGTAAACAGTTTCCATTTTTACTCTGCTGACAATGGTACTTTTAAAATGCATGTCGTGAATAAGTCCACGGCGTGCTGTATTTTTCAACTTGGCCCAGATTTAAAGGAAATTCTCAAGCAAGTGATAGATATCACTATCGTTTCAATTTCAAGTTATGTTTCTGAATTTTAGTAAAAGAGCTGCCTTTGGGGAGGGTGCGCTATGAGACATTCTAGATGGCTCACATTTGGGATTGATGACGTAACATCGACAATTATTTCATCGAAGGGCATTTACTTCGTGTACCGGACACAGATGACGTAAAACAAAAGAAAAACCATGAAACAATACCAAGCAGCAGCCTAGTCCCTAGGTGTTCTCTCTTGATCCGTTGTCCGCGCGAAGTCTGGGAGAGAGCGGGCGAGAGAACGGCGTTCTCGGCTTGTTCTCGGCGAGTATTTCCCGTGACGTCACAGCTCATAGTAGAGTCCAGGAATGACCGAGCTGAAAACGCCTGGGGACTAGGCTGACCAAGCAGATTTTTCCGTGAGCAGAAAACAAAGAGGTCTTTTGATCCATTGTAGATCATCGTGCATGGACGTGTAGTGATATAAAATTAAACTAATTAGTCTTTTACTTGACGCCGTTACAGAATATCTAACAAGGTCGGAATGGCGACCTCCATTCTCTAAACGGCAGTGCACGTAGCCGGGCTTTCACTGGCAACGATCGACCTATAAGCAGTAGAGATTGATCAACGCCTCCGTGGTAAGTCCCTCCGAATAATATATGTCCTGCCTCCCAGATTCTAGTTTTTAAGTCGCCCAGAGCTTGAAAGACGTGGAATACGTGGGAATTACTGTCAAATACAAATGAAATGAAGGAATAACACGTAATGTATGATTCTAAAATAACCTACCGAATGAACTACGGTATAAACCAGAGACAATCGTCAAGACCAAAGAGAGAGTGGGATTTGGGTAAAGATAAAAATGAACCTTCCTCCGAACCAAGCGCTTCGTTTTTCGCTCAGAGGCGAGCAAAACGCGCGGGAATGGTGACGAAGCGCAAGGGACCATGCAGCAGGCTAAACGATACGGCGAGGAATGGCACCATGTAAGTGGTACGGTAGCCTCCCACGCAAACGTTCCTTTGACTCGTCACACAATCTTCCCCAACGTTCGCGGAGCAGGAACGCGTGACGAACCTCTCAGAACGCCAGCGTGGGAGGCTAGTGTACGACGTTGTTATCTAGAGAATATGTATTAAGAGTAAACAACGGCACCAGACTAACTTTAGAAATACACTACTTCTCTAGGGTACGCACCACTTTTATTTTTTCATTAACAAAGTAGGAAAAATTTACATTTTAGAGATCTATCAATTTTTTATTATTATATTTGTGGCTACCTACAATTGAAGAGACATTTAGTTTGTTCTTGAAAAATAACGAGATTCTTTTTTTGTACCATGTTGAGATTATCCACAATACGAGAAACATTAAACATATATCCAATACTATACAGGTTTGCATCGAGTACCGCCTTAAATATAAAATAACTCTGGAATCGAATATAAGCCAAATAGCTTTGCCTTGATGACTAATTGTTGTATATATTTCTATATATAAGAGGTTTGTGGAAGTCTTGAAACCTCTGAAATTCGTTTGATAATTTCCCCAGAATCGCCTTCATTTTTATTACAAACCATAAGATATAGCCAAAGGGTTTCCGGTACTGATTTCTCTCTTTACTGTACTATTGCAAGATTCCATTTCACCGTCACAAGGCAATCAACGGTTCCCTATGGGTGTGAAGGTCCTTTGGCGGTTGCTAATAATATTAACTAATCAAGGGCACCTAACGACTCGGGCTGTGTTCTGTAAAATATCTGTTCGGAGAAGCAAATATTGACTAGAATTTTCTATTACTTGAGGACGGCTAATATATTTTCTAGATGACCCTTCCACTCATGTACAATTTTCGAAGCTTATCTAATAAATTCCCTTCGATTTTCGGCAGTTTAATTTTCACATTTCACTTCCCAGGTTAGGCTATTTTTCGTAGAGAAAAGGAAACCTAAAATTATCGTACCCAAAAATGCGATAGAGAGAGAAATCAGAAAATGTCTCACTTTCGTAATACGTCAAATTGCATCTAAATTTTTCGGAAAAATAACACTGAAGCCCTTGTAATTTCGAATAGATTCAAGTTCCCCTAGGATGACCGAACAGATGCAAATTCTATAGTGCCGCGTAGAACGCATTTCTAGACATCTAAAAATACTCTCGATAGCCTAAAAAGTGTTGTTAATGCATTTAGGAGGAAACTGTCGTTGGGTGCCCCTGACTAATAGAGAACTAGGGTGGTCTGACTGTAACCCCTAGGAGACAACCCTGGGAACGAGGTTGGTCTGACTGTAGCACAGCCAACACGAAAGGGAAGATACATTGCAATAAAAGAAAACAAGCGTAGGTCATATTAGACTGAGTGGCAGATAACCAGGCGGTTTCCTCCTCCTTTAAACTCTAGACTTTCCACAAGACGTCCTCACGAGTTCCACCGTAGAAAAAGCAGTAAAGGGAGTAAAGCGAGCTTTTCAGGTTGCGAAGCCGCCCGAGCGAGCGACGAAGTCAAAAGTCTATTCAAAAGGCCAGCGCTGCGACGCAGTCTAGGGTCATATATGATTTCAATTTTGCAGGCTGTCAAAAGAGATCTGTAAACCAGGAAAGGAGCAGAATGAAGGCCAAAATGATAAAGCAAACGCTCGACGACAGCCTTTACACATCGCGCAAATTCAGCAATTTGTGTACTTCACTACATTATAATTATATACTAGGCTGGTTCCTGAATACAGTAGAGGCATTACATTTTTTCATCATGGCCTACTGCTTTTTGTTTTGCCATCTCTTTCTGCATTTGAAGTACCATTTCTTGCATTCGTCGCAACTGAAAGAGAAATAAAATGGAAGTTTAACTCAAGGAAGCTACTGCCAAGTAATTTTGTCCAACATTTTCCAAGAACTCACATTTCTCGAAGGAACAAATTCCATTCGCTGAAATAAACCACGGGCCCGCCAGATATGGCGCCAAATCCTGTTTTTAGTTCAGCTGCTAATTAGTTGAAAAGAAATGTTTTTTTTGTTTCCTGATCAGATGAAAGGCGTCAAAAATTGGAACGCTCAAAACCCCTTGGGAGGCACCCGCGATATATAACCTACAAAAATGTTATTTCTGACGAATGAGCCCGCGAAGAAGGCAGAAATAAATATTTTGACGGCACGAGATACAACAGGGCCTGGGTACTAGGCCGGGTGCACCATGGGTAGCCATATCGAAGGCTGCGTATATCACGTGTTCGTCATCTAGGCTTACGAACCAACCTCTCCTTGGTTTTTCTTAAATTTTTGTTTTATTTATTTTTAGGAGCAACATATTCTCGATTACATTGTAAAGTCCCGTAGGAAGGGCTTTGAGCTTGAGCCTTGGTTCCTACCCAGATTTCCTGCCGCATTTTTTCCCTTCGGGGTTTTTTTGGGCAGGTTTTTTCTGGCCTCCGTCTGACCGCATTTACTTCAGTTTGTAAGCGGTAGCTCAGCTCTGCTAGTTTTCAGCCTTTTTCCCGTTTCTTATTTTATGTACTTGTACACTAGTTATCTCAGTTTTGCACCTGCTCCTTTACTTGATATATTTAGTTTCCATGTATGCTTAGGTCAGCTGTCCCGGAACCGCTCTTTAGGAGGCGACGTAAGTCTCGTTTGACGCAGTTAGGTTGCAGGCAATGTTACAGACCTCTAGCCAGGGTCGTTATTCATTGTTTACCCTCAATGTCCCGCCCTAGCATTTTATGGCAGTCTTACTGGTTATTGGGCTACGTGCCTTGTTGGGTACATTAGTGGAGATAATTCCCAGTTTTCCTGGCACTCAGCCTCTGTGCTCCTGAAGTGTTCCCGGTCCCAGTTATACGTTGATCACAGTTTTATTAAATTTCCCCGGCCTAACTGGCACTAAGCCTGCGTGCTTATTTGGGGGATTCAGGTCGAGATCGACCAGTTGTAGCAGTTTTTTCTTTTTGCTTAGCCTCTGTGCTCCTACCGTGTTCCTCGTGCCAGTTATGCGTTGTCTGAGTTTTATTGATTAGTTTCTCCAGCCTTACTGGCAGCCTAACTGGCACTAAGCCTGTCTGCTTATTTGGGGGATTCAGGTCGAGATCGACCAGTTGTAGCAGTTTTTTCTTTTTGCTTAGCCTCTGTGCTCCTACCGTGTTCCTCGTGCCAGTTATGCGTTGTCTGAGTTTTATTAATTAGTTTCTCCAGCCTAACTGGCAGCCTAACTGGCACTAAGCCTGTCTGCTTATTTGGGGGATCCAGGTCGAGATCGATCAGTTGTAGCAGTTTTTTCTTTTTGCTTAGCCTCTGTGCTCCTACCGTGTTCCTCGTGCCAGTTATGCGTTGTCTGAGTTTTATTAATTAGTTTCCCCAGCCTAACTGGCAGCCTAACTGGCACTAAGCCTGTGTGCTTATTTGGGGGATTCAGGTCGAGATCGACCAGTTGTGAGGAGTTTTTTCTTTTTGTTTAGGCTCTGTGCTACTACCGTGTTCCGTGTGCCAGTTATGCGTTGTCTGAGTTTTATTAATTAGTTTCCCCAGAATGACTGGCAGCCTACCTGGCACTAAGCCTGCCTGCTTAAATGGGAGATTCAGGTCAAGAGCGACTATTTGTCGCACGAGTTTTATCTTTTTGTGAAAGCTAGTTTACAAGTGTTGTACATTAGGTATTCACCAGTATTCACCTATTTACATAAATACTTTGTAGGGTTGGTTCTCGCCAAGCCGTCCCAAAATAAACTTATTTGCCATTACGTTTTGTCTGTTGATGTTGTGTAGTGGAGTCAAAATCTTGAACTTTCGCAACATCAAAAACTTTCGCGTCTGTTGTTCCCCAGGGGATCAAAAACGTCTGCTCTTGGAAAACATAAGTTCAGAGGGGAATTTTTGGAGAGGAAGGAAAATATACTACCAAGTTTGGGATTTACATTCCATCCTCTAGGGTAAACAATTCCCCCATATAAGGCAATCTGGAATACAGCTCAAGGAATCTGGAATCCCACTAAGGATTGGAATCCGGAAAACGGTACTTGAATTCCGGGATAGCCTGCGAAAACATCCGTTTCTCCTCGCTCTTCGCCGCTGGGGACGTTTCGCGAGGAGGAACGTCTGCGACTCAGCGACAAAAATTCCATACTGATGACGTAAAATCTGTCCGGAATCTGGTCAGAAGCGCTGATTGGTCAACGGAGTAGTTACATTGTTTTAGCTATTGTTTACAAATGACAGACAAAAGACACAAGGCCACAGAGGTCAAATGTAAACGCGAAGAATCTCTAGCAGTCAATATTTGTTGAATATACTCTTCTCTAGAAGAAGCATTTGAGTTTTGCTGGAGCTCGTTGGCAGATGAACACAAAAATTTACCAAAATCGACCAGAAGACATGTTAAATTTTACAAATTTGTATTTGGAACCCCATGACTACCGGATTTATTATGTAAACATTGATTTGCGTCATCAGTATGGAATTTTTGCCACTGAGTCGCAGTCCCCAGCGGCGAAGAGCGAGGAGAAACGGATGTTTTCGCAGGCTAATTCCGGGAATCCCTTGCGTGGAATGCAGAATCCAAGACAGTCTAAGATTCCCTTACATTGGGTGAAACAGTATATCAAGTTGCTAAATACCTCGGCTTCCTTTTCTTTTAACATTCGATCCTTTTCTGAAATATTGCCTGCATCCACCTGTTCCGGCTCAAAACTTCCAGTTTTGCGTTTCCTAAAACAAGAAATTTGAAAAGATCATTCATTTTTCACGGATCTAAAGTTGCCACCGGGCCTCGATTAAATATAAAGGACATGTTATGGAAAACGGTTTACATACATTGCCTCTATAGTTTTACGAGGTGAGGGGGGCCCTTGCCCTTGTCGCGACAAACGCTCCGCTCTGTAATTTTCATAATGCACTTCTTGTGTGACATCTTTCAAATCCTGCATGTGTGTTCTGAAAACGAAATCGGTGAGATTTACTCTTAGCATAACGACACGAGAAGAATGCACAATGAGATATAATATTCCTTTTCTCTTGAACAGGAATACCAGTGAATGGATAGAAAGGGGAAGGAACTGAAGAATAATTGGGCGCGGTTTCATTTGCACCTATCCCTAAACAAGGAGCCGTTTGGTACATCCCAATTAACTGTAGTGAAATAATTTTTTGAAAAAACACGACTTAAGTTCATCATACAATCGACCCTTCGTTACACGACGGCGTCTGGAGGAATCAAACATGTTCAATCTCAGAATCGACACCCGATAAAGACGTTGGACGTTGGCAAGAGTTTGGAAAAGCACAACATAACGGGAGAGTTCACAAGCAGATCAACCAACAAAATTGTATTCAAGATCACGAACCTAACAACACTACTCCGTCGTCATGTTGGAGTGAAACAACAAACATAGCAGCGTCACTTGATTAATTTATCTTTCAAGTATAGAGCATCGCAAAGAAAATCGCAGTTTGTGCGGTAACTTTCAATTAGTTGCAAGCGTAAAGAAATGAAAGGTCTCTCTTTCTCACCTGATCAACATGTTTCTAAGCTTGATAAAGTCACAGTGCTCGGGGTTTTCAACTGCAAATTAACACAAGTTACAAGCACGTTATTATAGTTCCTGCCCAATGCCCCTTTTCTGGTTACGCGTGTGACTGGGATGCTGTTGTGTCATTTTGTCCTATGGGAGATGGGACTGTTTTGGGGACCCGAGCACATTTTCCATTGTCTCCTACGAGCAGCCTGAGAAAACAGCCGACAATTCGCGACGCCACCACTGGTTTCCCCGCGAAATTAAGTCTAAGAAACGAGCACTGAAATTCCATACTGATGACGCGTCACTACCCAGATCTGGGTAGTGCTTCTGATTGGGTGAAGCAAATTTACAACCAATAGTATTAGAAGCACTACCCAGATCTGGGTAGTGACGCGTCATCAGTATGGAATTTCTGCGCTCGTTTTTCAGACGTCATTTCGCGGGGAAACCATTGGTGGCGTCGCGAAATGTCGGCTGTTTTCTCAGGCTATACCACGAGTAGTTCTATTAAATTCACCCCAAAAACAGTCACAAAGTGCAGTTCAACACAACACCGACCCAGTCTCAAGTTGCCATACCTGTCAATAGACAAGCGCACGCACGATCGCACTGGCTACTGTCATGGTGGGGACACAATAGGAAGCTTACGCAGGGGCGTTTTTGAGTGACGCGTGACAACTGGAAGTGGGGCTTTTTCCCTGCTTTTAATATGCAATGACGCTACTAACTGTAGTCTCCCTCGCAGCCGTTTTTTGGATGTCACTCAACGCTCCCCCAACGCTTCTTTTGGGGGAGCGTTACGTGACATCCAAGAAACGGCTGCGAGGGAGACTATACTAACTGTGAAGTGTTTTCACTCTTACAGCGACAATTTGCTGCGCAAAACCACAACCTAAGACTGCAAAAAGTCCACTTCCCTTTGACGTGTGTCCCTCAAAAACGCCTTTGATTAAGCTCCCTGTTATAAACTTAAAAACGAGTCTGCGTTTATAAACAATATTGACAAAGTTTGCAAATTCTCTCTGGAAATGCTCTAGGGTATTCTAAAAACTGTCATTTAGAACGAAATAACTTAATGTAAGAGTTCCTGGAGATTGAGTGGGACTAAATTAACAAACCTTCTGCCATTCCCCAGGGGTACTGCCTAACTCGTACTTGCTTGCCTCGGACGTCCGTTATTGTGTTACTGCCTATCACAGCAAAAGGAATACTACCCTGCAAAAAGATATGAACAGACATAGAGCAGAGACTATAAGAGATTTGACCTGCTAACTGAATAGTGACGTTTTCTCTTCCACTTTCCATGTAACCAATGGGCTCTTTGCATGATACGGTCACATGATACAAAAAAACACCTTGCTGAATGGCAAACGACGCAGAGGGGCAAAAAAAACAAAGAGATAGCCTCATTCAAAAAGCTCACAACCTTTCTTTTAAAGGTCCCACTGCGCCATTTGCCATCCAGCAAGGTGATTTTTGTATCATGTGACCGTCTCGTGCAAAGGGGACTGCAAAGGGCCCATTTCAAAGGTCACATTCAATTTGCACGCCGCGTTTTTGGCGGGAAAAAGTCTCTCAGACTGCAGTTTTTTTTGCCAGGAAATCGTATGCCCACCGGCGTTCTTTATAAAGAAAACTGAACATATACAAGTAAGTTATAAAGTTTTAAGAATCAATAAGGGCAAAAAAATTATTGCAACTCTCATATTATTTGTTGACTTTAAAGGCGAAAGTCAAGTTTGCCTTTGACAATCCAGGTAAAAGCCAGTTGAAGCTTCTTGTGTGATGTTGCAACCTGACACTCAAATGGTTGCTTATTTGAAAAGAAAGAGTTTGTTTGGTTTTAATTCAGGCCTAAATAAATTCTGTATTGGGCAAAGTTATTCGTCTTATGACGAAAGCCGCACGCATGGGACACGCATATGAAATGTTTTTTGTGGGTCATTTCTTGACTTAGAGCATCGTTTCAGTCAAGTATTAATTCTTCACTTCTCTAGAGGTATAGTAATTTCGATTTGCTGAACTTTTAGATAAAGGGAATACTGGAATTCTACCTTCAATTCCTGGTTTATCTCAACAAATTCCTCATCATCTTCGCTGTCACAATCTGGAAATGAGTAAATCTTGATACCATGTTCGTCAATTTCGTCTAGGACCTGGTAACAAAAGAGTCACAATTTTGAACTTAGCATATAGCCCTTTACGCGACATAAAGGAGCGAAAGCAAAGGCGTTTCTTAGGTGAAGCACATCAACCGGAAGTGAACCCGTTTCTCTTTCAATTTTCCACAACACTTCCAAATTTGTATTGCTAAGCGTCTATAGTCTCATAAAAGCGATATGACCGAAAATTAGGGAAAAGCAACTACATGGATACAGTTCAATTCCGGTTGACGTGCAACGCTCAAAAACGTCTTTGCATAACGTAAACCCCCGGCTGGAACTTTCTTGAGATGATGTAAGCTGGGGTTAAAGGTAGCTTGCTACAACCAGTTGCAAAAATACTTGAGACACTCTACCTTATTTTGGCTTAAACGGCCTGAATAGCAGCGAATTGAAGGAAAAAAGGCCGGTTTTTCTTCGGAGTGTTTTGTAACTGGTTGTAGCTTAGAAGTCTGTGCATGAAAATTATGTCTTTAATGTCTTGTAAGGTGGCGCCATGGAAAAATAATATTTTAGGGAAGCACTTGCGTTTCTTGAGCAATTTTTAAAAGGACTGTCTTTTTTAACTTGTTGGCTTTCACCACCACAGGTACCCCAAGCTTCGGGAACAATATTGAAAAAAATAGCCGTCTCAAGTGTCTCTGATCACCCCCAGATACATGAAAGTTACAGCAGGGATGAACCATGTATGCAACGTAAGGACTTCTTTAATAGATGTTATTTCCTCCCTCAGTTTGTATCCCATTTAAAATAGATTAGTTCTCAAAAAAACTCCTGCTGCACAAATTACTTCGTGACACTCAAATTATCATTTTAATCCTAAGGTACCTGTGCTACAACTAATTGCAAAGGAAGTCTTACTGGAAGTGTTAGTTAATATTGGGATGAACATGTGAGGGCTTTGACAATAATATTACCATATGAAAAATAAAGTTGACCATTCTCTGACCTTTCTTTTAAGTCTTTGCATTTCGAATTTTGTTAAACAATCAGCTTTGGCTATAACAGGAACTATGTTAACCTTGGTGTGTAACATTCTCATAAACATGATGTCTATAGGTTTTAAGCTGAGAAAAAGGACAAAACACAAATGACAGCAATAATATTAGTACCAACGAGATAAAACTTTCTTAAGAGCTTGAATGGTAAGGAGCAAAAAGTACTAGAAAAACAGAGACCCAAGGAGATCTATGTTTGTTTCTGTTCTTTTTCTTTTATCAAAATGGAATCTCTGCTAAACCCCACATATCGATAATGCCCACTTTTGTTTGCCCTTATGGATTATGTTGTAGGTAAAATCCACTCTTAGGTTAAAATACAATTCAACCTAGTTTGGTTCAGGATTTGTTTGATAGCCCCGATTTTTCAGAGGAGACAATGGAAATTCTGGTTTAACCTCACAAAAAAGGATTTTACCTACAAAGGGTACATTCACTCATGTTCTGACCATCTATACTATGGCCACTTTCCTCCATCCCCAAGGTGACGGTTGTGGGTTTGAATGTTTTATTTTTTTAATGTATTTTTTTGCCAGTCAGGCTCAGCAGGACAATAATTTGTTATTAATAATCTGTTTTGCAAAAATCTGGAGAAGGGTTAGTTTATGATTCTCTGAAGGCATGGTGAAGGTGATAACGATGATGATGATGATGATGAAGTTGATAACAGTGATGATGTTGAAGGTCGAGATAACCATTATGGGGTGATTTATGACCATGGCAGTGAACGTCACAGTGATGGAAGGTGGAGTATGGGAGTCACGGGTAATAATAATGATGATGGGTAATATCAAACTGATAATGATGATTCTGATTCTTGTGGATGAGAAAATGATAATTGGAAGTGATGATTGTAATATTCTGAGTGTTTCATCACCAGATGAAACACCGAGTGGATGAGATCACAGCGAGTATTTTTAAGTTGATGATGATGTTTGAAACAAATGAAATTGGATGCAAAATGAGCAGTTTTTCATCTGATATCCAAACACTCATTACACATTAATTTCCTTTGAATTTTCTTTATGAATTATTAATGAGTTTGAGAAGTAATGGTGACTGTCCACGAAAAAGAGACAACAAATGCAGAAGTACACACTCTACATGACTAGCAAAATCTGCTATCCAACTTTAAAAATCTACAACAAATGCAAATACTAACCCATGACCATGTGGACATATAAAATATAGACAGCAGTGAACTCTGTTGTCTACTATGTGCCGTCGATTAAGGCCTGATTCATCTTGCAGGTAAGTCTCGTACTGTTGGTCAATGTAGTTAGTTACAGCTTGCCAACTATACAGTACAAGAAAAAAAAAACATCCTTATTTGTCACCAATTCGTGGCTTTAAATGTAAGTATATATAACCTTATTCCTACATCAATCTTGGGAAAGGTGTTCCAATTTCTAACAGCTACATATAGTACCTTTAAATACAAATTCATCAAGCAAGACATGCTACAGTGCACACTCCTTAAATGATATCTAAATTTTCAAATTTCTTCACTAGTGAAAAAAAAAAATAAATTGATGCTCATAAGCCCTGGGCTTATATGTCTTCATGAGGGGTGGGGATTATAACCGGACCAGAAAAGCACTTTGATTAACAAGCTGTAGCAGTGCTGATTAAGATATGTTTTTTATTCACTGGTTTTTAATTTATTAAGCTTCGAGATGTCACAATAAATCCATTTACCTTCAATACAAGCTAGATGGGGGCTTATATCAAAGGGGAGCGGGGGGCGGGGGGGCTGTTAATCGGATGTTTATATTTACAGGTAGAGGGGCCGATAATTGAGAGGGATTATAAGTGGAGGCTTATAAGCGGCAGTTTACAGTATGCAAGTATCAGATTTAGAGGAGTCTTACCAATCTGTATTGTCTACAGCATCAGCAAATCCTGGAGTGTCTACCACTGTTAATCTTAACCTGATACCTTTCTCTTCAATTTCTACAGTGTTGGTTTCAATTTGAACTGTCTGGTGAATACGATCTACAAACCCAAACAATAAAACAATCATTTTCCACACCCTCATCATCCTACCCAGAATATATAACCGGTTAGAACTGAATCAGGACTTCATCTTTCCCTTGAGGCTAGAGGTACTTAGACCTTGAGGTACATAATTACCAGAATCACTAGGCAGTACTAATTAAGGATAAAACAAGTGTGCCTGTACAAGGAGGTATACATCTTGAGTTGGGGGGAGGGGGAACTTATTTATCTAATCTCCCAAAGAAGGTCATCACACACTTTGGTACAATTAACAAGTCTTAGTATCAGTTGAAGACCTCCTAGCTTTCCCAGCCCACCCTTACGAATATTTCAATCCCACTCTAGTTTGCCATCAAAGGAAAACCAGACTATTTTAAAAAAAAAAGATAAGTTGAGGTGGAAGGGTTAAAGGTGTCAGACATTTTAAATAAAGGGAGATAGGCAGCTCTTTAGCCAAAACCGGGTTATCTTCAGTTGGCACATTGGCTCTGTAGGCCTCATTTTGGGTCTGTCAGACAAAGGGGTCCTGACCTTGGGCCCCTCCCTAGTTCCACCAATGATTAGGTTTTACACTCACAAGTTATTTATACATACCAACTGCTTTAGGAATTGCTGTCTCATCATATAAGTCAGTAAGAAACAAGCTATCTACAAGGGTTGACTTTCCCAAACCAGACTCACCTGGAATAGCAAAAAATCGGTTATAAAAATCAGTTATTTAAAAAAATTATCGATATTATTAGAGGTGAAGGACCATTTAGATTGTATTAAGTATACTGCAGGGTCAAAACTCATCTGTTTGACAATTTAAGTTTTCAAATGAAAGGGAAAACAAGTTTCTTGTAATGGTTTGATAATAATATTATCATGCATCAGTAACAAAAGACATTCAAACTAAAAAAGGTCAGTGATAAGAGATCTTGCAATTGTTTGCCGCAAGAAAGGAATAGCCTGGTCTTAATTAGGTTTATCAAAAAGTATCAATCAAAGTTCCCTCAATAGCCTATTCTATAATGGACCAGTAAGTGATTGAAAATACAGATGTATTGTGCAGTTTACTGGTTGAGTTTGTATCGAAACAACATGTATCAAAAACAACAGGTTTCCTGATGGACTATCACCACTCCAAGCAAAACTTATTCCTCACACACCTTAATCATTTATATCCAGCCAGATGCGTGTGTTACAAGTCCTTTGATCATTCAAGTCAAAAGCTATAGTCACTTTAGACAGGTGAGAGTTTTATGCCATATAACAATAATAAGTTAATTTGAGATTGTTAATTGCACAGCACTTACCAACAACCATAAGGGTAAACTCAAACCCTTTCTTCACAGATTTTCTATGGACTTGGTTAGGGAGGTTAGCAAAACCAACATAACCAGGTTCCTGTGAAGAGAACAGAAAATATGCCACAACGTGACCTTGTATCTTCTATGCATGTCAATTGAGGCAAGCTCATTGCTAGAGAGGCATTTGCAAATAACATTGTAATGCAAAACAATAAATCTCATTTTGGATAAATATAACAGTTGCACTTTGGTAAATTAATCTTGGTTGCAACATCTTTGACAGTACTTTATAATATTTTATGTATAACTTGTTAATCATTTTTAATCAAAACAAACAAAACAGCAAATATATACAGAAACCTTAAGTTATCGACAGGTTGAGGTTATAGGAAGCACCTTATTTGTGACTACCAACAAAAACATTACATTTGCCACTGTTTAGGTTTTAACAAGACTGGTTGTACCATGCCATTTTCAAAACTGGATTCATTTGAGAGTACAATCTATTGGTCATATTCAGCAATAAAAATAAGTGAAATCAAGTATAAAAATAGCTTGTTCAGGTAAGGCACCTTGAAAACATGCATATGAATTTAAGTTAGAGACGTCCACCTTAAAAGGGAAATGATTTTTACATTTTAAAACATACCATGCATAGTAACAATAATTCCTCTGGCCTCAGAGAAAACTTTCACTGGGAATTTTTTGGCTAATTTAATTACCGGTAAGTAGTATTATGGTGTTATTAACATTTAGTAAGCAAAGTCACCAATTAATAGCAATAAGGGACACTCAAATCAGTGTGTAATCAGATTACAAGTGAAGCAAAATTTGCACCAGTGTCTGTGTTTTAAGCAAGTTTATACCAATTTATTCTAACAAAACATGGTAACAAAAGAAATGTGGAATTTTGGAAAAGCAATATAATAATTGATATTGCTGCTATAAATTCTACTGCCCCTTGAGGCTCACCAATGAAATAATATTATTGCTGTGTCTTAAGTGGGGGGGTTCAGTGACAAGGTCAGTGATAGGTTGGGTATCTAGAATAGAAAGAATAGAATAATTGGCACAACCCTTATGTCTAATATAATTATTTTTGAAACTGCAATGGATAAAATACTCTGGCAATAGCTGTTTTTGTTACAAAGAGGGTTCAACGAACTAAAGGCATAACGGCACACACCTCCAACTACTTTTCGACCCTCCCCCCCCCAAAAAAAAAACATCCGCAGTTAACAAGGTGGCTACTTATTTCGTCGATCTCCAATAATTAGAACAGAATGAATTTTTTTTTCAGTGCAAATTCTGCGTCAGAGTGGTCAACTATACAATGAATGACATCGGATAAAAAAGTGCTTTTACAAAAGGACTCTTTAATAGGATTAAAATCCAACCGCAAGGTCCATACTTGACGCAGTGCGGATGTAATTGAATTCCGATCGCAGATTATATAGGAGGAAAATTTATCTGAAATGCAAATATCAACTTCCCATTTCACTGAATTAACGTAATCGCGGGAAAAAAGTCAAATCGACCACGCATACAAAGAATTAGTTCAAACTTAGGGTTTCAAACATCTTTAAAACTTTCGTGATAAAAGCACTGAATTCTCAATCGCGTTGAGTGACATGAATGAAAATTTGGAAAATTCGAATGCAAAACAAAATGACCGAAAGTTCGCGATTTTTACAGCTGTACAAATGAACACATCATTGATCGCAGGATTTCTCAGCAACTTCACAAATAAGGAAGATTGTTAGCCTCGTGTACTCTCTACATCAAGAGTTAAGGGTAGGGTATTTAAGCTAAATTCATCGTTTAAGACAAGAACACAACAAGCCAAAGGCTGTGCTCAGTGTGCAGTGCACGAAATCATCACATGGATACACACAAAAATTGGAACTCGAACTTACCGGGTCTTTAGGTGAATAGAACGTTGCCCAAAATCCGTCAGTTATGGAAATAAAGAAAAAAGAGTTAGTGTTTAAATTAATTTAAAACTTAGAAATTTTAGCCCCGGTTATAAATCGTAACTGAACTAGCGGTGATCGCTTCGCCTCCTGTCTCTCAGGAGGTCTGAAATCATACAACTCAAGTGTGACAGCGAGTGAATAAAAAATCACAATACCTTTGTGAGCTTCTGAGGAAACTGCAGTTTTGCTTACGATTCCACGAGAAGTTCTACTACTTATACTCATGGTGCTTTATCTAAACTGGCACAGATCGAGAATCGGCGCTTCCGACGTAAAAAGGCGCAAAAGTGTTTGAATATAAAGTATCTTCAGATTCTTGTCGTTTGTCGGATCCAGACTTCCTTCCGAGTCTTCCGAAACAGGCTTGGTCGAATACCTCAAATATGACAGAGATGTCACAGAAATTTTAAAAACCTAGTAGAAATAAAATCAATAGTTTATTTAAGTCTTATGTTTCAAGGAAATACAATGTTTTTGCATAACGCGGGAAAGATATAATGCGCGCAAAATGGACAGTCGCGAGGGTTCTCGCGTGTTGTTGATGCTGCTAAGATCGCTCGCAACGCCTCAGGGGTAATCAGTCTCTAATGGCGGCGTTGAGAAACGAATGGAAAGCTGTCCTCGAAAACAGCAGTTAGATTCAGTGAAACAAAGTTCCTTTCAAAGTCACACTTTGGACAATGTAACCAACACCTTAAGCAAGAGCGCCACATTGAACGTAACGTCTTCTCGCTTTAGACATGGAGAAGTTCTGAACGTGGATTTCCGAGCGACAATGGTTTCAACAACTTCAGCACCAACTCCATCAGCGACAACCTCTCCGTTTTACCTTTTACGAGATGATCCTCGTGAGTTGATAACAAGTTACTTTTGTATGAATAGCGTGACAGTATTTTTGTGTTTTTTTAATTCAACGTCGTTATTTTTTTGCAGCCACACCGCTAGAAACAAATGGTAGCCTTTTACATGGCTTCGACCAGACACAAAAAGGCAAAAAGGTGAAGGAAGGTCTCAGTTCGTTTCTTCCGCATTTGCCTGGTAAGGCTTCTTCCACAATGCTTTAATCATAGTCTAATTGTGAAGAAGGAAGTGCATAAATCCATTGTCCCTTGGCTTACGTTACCCTGTATGTACATGAAAACGGCAATTCAATATAAGTTAAGCACATATCGGCCAAATGAGCCTAAATAAGCTTAACCAATAATTGTTTTAAAACACTTTCTCAGTGTTCAAATGCAATATGTTGTGTTAAGCTTAATTTTTGTGACACTTTCAGCTGATAATTTCGTGCGTCAGTTTAGAAATGCAGTTACATTGTAATTTCTCTAAACTATAAGCTTCAATTAAACAATATGCTGAAGTTTCCTACTCAAAATTTGCATTTATGCTGAGCAAGCATGTACAGTATTTAATATCTGCAAATTAAGTTTCAAAATACCTGACCACATCAAATTAAATTTCAAAATACTTTGTGTACCTCTGGCTTTGCTGAAGAGCCTCCTACTTTATCAGTGATCACCTCCTACTTAAAAATCTATTGAGAACCCTGCTCCTGTGGTCCCACGGTAATCAAGGAAATAGTTCACCTTCAGTTTACACTCCCACAGTCCCATTTCCCTGTAGCAGAAACTCATGAGGGGTTGAAACATGTAACTCTTTATCTGATCACGAGCATGGAACGTGAGCTACAGGTTTCAATCCCTTATGAGTTTCTGCCTTTAGTCAATATATCTATTCAAATCAACTAGTAAAACAACTACTCCCAGTCTTGCAGCCCTTTAGTCGAGAAATTTATCAAAATCAAGTATGTAGAATGACTGCTCAAACCTATAGTAAGTTAAAATCAGGTACTGACAAATACATTGTTTGGAATTAGTTTTATTAACATATTTTACTTAAAGGCTTAAAGAATGAGGAGTGACACATAGAGTTTGACTCTATATTTGCCATAATATTGCTTGGTAAATTTTTTGCTTCTGCTCATTCTGGTATGTTTTCAAAGTTCTTTTCCCCCTCCACAAGTTCAATGACAAAGTTGTCCGTGACTCTTAAAACTGATAACATCACAAACAGTACAAGGAACATGGATATCTACATGGATACTTAACAATTATTCCTCGAGCCCGAATGGACTCTGAGTCAATAGCCCATCGGCCTCGTGGGCTACTGACTCAGAGGCCATGAGGGTGAGAGGAATAAGAGGGCTTTTTGGCGGCAAAAAAGGATTAAAGTCTAGCTTTAACTAGCTAAAATGTTTTTATTCTCGATATTTTTGACCAGCTAGTTGGATTTTACTGAAACAATTATTGTTTTAGTAAAAATTATCCAACTAGTTGGTCAAAAATATTGAGAATAAACAAATTTTAGCTAGCTAATTAAAGCTAGACTGTAATCCTTTTTTGCTGCCAAAAAGCCTGCACTTTTCGCTACTACAGTCGAACCTCAATTATCTGGACTCGTTGGGACCAGCCGAAATTGTCCGGATAATCGATAGTCCAGATAATCGAAAATATGAATATTAATAAAGAACAAAACTGATTAAATTGAGAAAGCGACAATTAATCGTGAAACAAGACTTTTACAAATCGTTACGATGCATGCAAGCGCTGCTTTTGCTGTTTGAAAGCAAAAAAAACTCGCATTTGACTGCACTTTTCAATGCTGTAGTTTTAAAAAGGATATGGCTACGGATCTTGATTGTGACTTATAAACATTCATGACCAAATTGGGACTGGAGAAAAAGTCTGGATAATCGAGGTTCGACTGTAGTGGTCCATAACATATGGCCTAGTAGTAGCTCAACCAATAAGAACATAGCATTGATAACAGACCACTAGTTGGATTTTACTAAAGGTAATTACAGGGGGTAAGCAAAACCACCCAATATAATGGAGGTTGCCCATAGGAAAGACCCCTTATGGAACATAGACCTCTCTGGCTCAATTGCGTTTTAGAGAATTTTCAGTTCTGACTAATGAAGTGTGTTCCCTTTTTCTTTTTCTCTTTGTTCAGGTGTTATAGATGAACTTGGGGGACCCGAAACTAGGTAAATAGACATGGAATATTGCGTTACTGATATTGCTGCTGCTGTTAATACCCGAATAGGCCATGTTTCAGTTGTGGGCTTAGTGTCCTAGCCTTTGAGTGAATGTGAGACTGCAGTTGACCTTGTTTTGATACAAACCTCATCCCTTTTCTTAAGTAAATTTTGCTTAAAAAATACTAGTTAGCATACAAACAACATCATTTACATAATAAAGCAGGAAGGGCTATATCAAAACAAGGTCAACTCCAGCCTTGTTTCTGCCTACAACTGTAAAATGGTCTATTCTAACAGCATGAGACACATGTACTTGATACGAATGTAAAAGCACAGTTAGAATAACGTATCAGTTCAAATTTTTATCAATAAACTAGGAAAACTGCCTAGTTGCCAATTTAACTCTTTTGTTTGGTGCCACATATATTGTGAGATGTTTTGTGGCTACAGTTGTGGTGCGAGAAACTATAATTAATATAATGTTTTGGTGAACATTCTGTATTAATTAGTATGAACTTGTCAGAATAATGCATATTTATGGCCTGTCACTAGCCTAAGGGTAGTATCTGTTAGGCTGCATGATATGTTGTACCGGAAAATATCACAACTTTACAGCGGACATGAAAACTGTAACCACATGCACTTACTCAAGGTTTTCTTGTGTAAATTCTTCTGACTAAAAAGGCGGATTTGTTATCTCAGATCATATGGATTCTTCACCACTGGTCACCAGTGACTCATCATGGCGGCTGCAATTTTTCCAGCTCTGGGTTATTAGAGTCTGGAATCGTCTCCCTTATGGAGTTATGTCATCTTCTACATTAAGCTGTTTTAGGCAGTCTGTTTTGCCTGCCATTAGATCACTTAAGGTGCCTTCACATCTGCACAGGCTGTCACTGCTGACTGGTACCCTCCCAGTATTAGAGGAATCTCTATCTTCTTTGGGAGTATTTATTCTAAGTTCTAAGTGCACAGAGCTTGCACATGAAGAGATCACATTCATTGAAGAATTGTGCACCAAGTGGAAAATCCTCCACAATTCACTTTCAGAGTTAAATGGTACATGTTCTACACCAATTCTAATTTATCATCCAATTTAGGTGAAAAGAAGTGTTACACCTACAAACATAAAAATTTATTTGCTTTTATTTTTTTGTATTTAATTTTCTTATTTCAGTCTCCGTTCTGTGGTTGACAAGCCACCTATTGGTGGGAAAGAGCTTTTACCATTAACTGGACATTCTTTGTCTGGATTTCGCTTAAATCCTGGTCCAGTAAGTGTACCTAATAGTCTCAAACATGAGTAAACAGTCCAACCTCAAAATTGCCTGAAACTTGATTTACCAGATTTTTCTGTTTTACTTTTTGGTCTCGTGATGAATAATCATGGACATCTTGAAATGTGATTGCTGTTTTTTTTTTCTATTCAAACATTGAAAAATGCCGGGTTGTCACTATAAATGTCAAGTTGCCAGGTAAATACAAGTAGGCAGAAGATCAAACAGCTAGGGATTTCTTTTGGTTCTATTTTTCTTCTGTTTTCTAATAAAAGTAGTTGAGGGCCACACTGATAGTAGCCAGGGAAAATTCCTGGCCCCGGGCGCTAAATGACAACCCTGAAAATGCCTTTGAACCAGATTTTGTTTTTCTGTTGAAGAGCAAGAGTAGAAGAGTGCATTCACCTGAATTATCACAATAGAGTTTCTAATTATTACACCATAGATTACAGATGAACCACTACTGTTGCTGTTCCCTTCTTTTGTAAATCATGAAAGTAGTGTTGAGAAAGATATTATTAATTTTAAATATTTTGAATTTTCCAGACTATTTACCCCAGTCCTGCCAAGTCCAGATAATCAAGGTTCTACTGCAGGAGTGGCCATTTACTCATGTGCTGTTTTAACTCTGCCTGAAACACTGCCATGTTGTCTTTTATTGTCCAGAATTTTTTGTATTTTTCTAGATCCCTGAACAGTTCCGTTTCATGAGTCAGCATCCAGTTAAGAAGAAACACAGACACAAGAAACACAAAAGTCAAGACACTGAACGAAATAAAGATAGCGAAGCTGTTGGTCAAGGTTTGCGGCTACTTGAGCCAGAGAAGCCTGCATCCTCTTCTGCTGGTACGTTACAAAAAATGGAGAGGCTTATATCTTGAAAGGAAGGGGGAGTCTTACAACTGCTTTGAAACAAGCTATAGCCAGTGCATGAACTAAATACATTTTGCATGTCTTGGTTAAAATTAAGCTTCAAAACTTCACAAATAGAGTGGCCTTTATGCATGATTACATGAGACGAGCAAATTTCACCACCAGGTCTCTTTTGCAAGGAAAATTCTCTGCATTTGCAGTCTTTGTTGTGGATATTCTTTTCAAATTTGCTGCCTCAGGAATTCTTTTATGCAAAACTTAGCAACTTTACAATTTCAAAATGAGGCTTGGTGGTGAAATTTGCACATCTGACATAAACATGCATAAGGGCTAGTTATTCAATACAGGAGGGGGCTTATTTCTGTGGGGGAGGGCTTACCGGTAAGTAATTTAAGTGTATCCAAAAATCAAATTAGCTTTGTAATTCTTTCAGATTTGAATTCAGATACAGTGTTAAGCCTGGATTAGCTTATAACCCTACTTTGAACAACTGAGCCTTATTGACTCTAGAAAAAGATAGTGTTTAGTGCTAAATAATAATATGTAGCTTCAATAAATATGTTTATTTTTCAACAGAAAAATCAGAGGGAAGTCATGATTCAAAGAAACACAAAAAACAGGTTAGCCAAGTAGGAGCATTTTGATGCTTAAACATTTTTCTTAGGAATGAATTTCAGAATTACCATTGTAGCAGAGTACTTCTCCAGTATCCAATAAAGTGTACATATTGTAAGAGAACTTCCAGTCTTTATCATGTGCTACTATGTTGCAAATGATTTCTTAGAGGTCTCTTTTCTTTAAGGTAGATGGATTATGGAGGTCTCCGTTCCTCTTTGCATTTAGTCCTTGCTACAAATTAATATGAATTATTATAAAATGCAGGTTTTTATCTTAGGTTTTCATTTCTTGTTTCAGAAAAAGCATGATGATGGTGAAAGAAAAAAGAAAAAGAAAGAAAAGAAAAAGAAGAAGGTAATCACACTGTATTATTGGCAGGGCAAATTTACTTGATTTTACTTGGCAATAGAAATTAACAGTGGGCTAACTTATCTGTTCTAATTTCAGAAACATACCCCAGATGCCACCCCTACAGGGGGATTGGAACCCAGCTGAAGATTAAAATCCTTAGTCCTATTAATATTATTAGATTGTACATTGAACATCTTAAGTTATTATCACTTTTTGGATACTTCATAATACAGAACTCACATATTGTTTGCAGGTACATTGTACAAAGTCAGGTAGTTTACGCAGGTAGATGACATTACTGTGTCGGTAGCCTTTTCCAGGATGTCAGGTACAAAGTATAGAAGGCATTTAGTCTTAAGGAAAGTTTTTCTGTCTCATTAATGCTGGTATTATTTGCTGATCTTTTTGTATTTCTGTCTGTGTTTGTTCAGAAAGTGGACAGCACTATCCACAATAGAAATATTTCTGTAACTGATTTATTTGACAGATGGTTTATACACTCTTTATAAACTGGGGAATTGTTTTTTGAGAAAGCAGTGGAATTATGTTTTGTGTAATTTCCAAACATATATTGTAAAATCCTAGCAGTTTTGCTAGAACCTGAATTTTTTTGGTCTGTATGTCTTTGCTTCTTTGCTCCATAATCCCAAGAAAGAAGTTTTCACAAGGTTACTTCTCTTTGACCGAAGTTTGCACACAGTGACAATGCGACAGCATCTAAAATTCTGATGAAAGAAGTGTCATTTGTATAGAATTATTTGTATCCTGGGTAAAAAAATCACTGTTTTGCCTTTGAGACACACCATCACTGCTTTTCAAATGAAATCAAGTTAATGTGTGAGAAAATAATCATAGCTATGTTTTTCTCATTATGTTCATTTTTATCTGAGTCATGTCATTGCCATTACACAAATGTCAAACAAAATAAGTGGCTGTTTAACTTATATTTAACCCATGCAGTTTGCACGAGAAAGAGCCACTTTTCTTAGAACAGTTGTTTTGGACTGTTGGGCACAACAGTTTGAAGGATGAACACATCGTGAAATTTTATACTGCTCCCAGTGTACAGAGTAGTAGGTATTTAAGTATTGCCCGGGACCGGGTTGTTTAAAGTTGGGTTAAGATAACCCAGGGTTAGTGCGAAATTTGAAATCAGTTTTGAATGCTTAAAAAGTACATTCAGTTTAATTCTTTCTGTCAACGAGTTGATGATTGGATGCTCTTAGAAATAACAGAGAAAATTGTCGGAGAAAATGCTTTTGAACAAAAGAAAAAGAATCCCAGGTTAAATTTAACCCTGGGTTAAGCGCTAATCCGCCTTCAAACAACTGGGCCCAGATCTTGACAATAAATGCAGAGTGTTGTTCATTAGCATCTCTCAGCAAACAGGGTATTGATCCATTTTTAAATAATGAAATTAATTCCAATCGACAAAACTTAAGATCCATTAAGTAAGAATAGAGTCAATGAAATTAGGGAAACATTGTAGAGTGACACTGGGGTCCTTTACTCAGTAAAAGGACACGACACAACTCTTATACCATAGAACTCTATATGAAAATGAGTTAGTACATGTTACAATATAATTAAAGTAGAGGTGGTTTTAAATAGGAACAATAGTTGTATTATGGTTCTTTCACTGTCACAAAGTGTAATAGGATAATTATTTATGAGAGATAAGCTGTATGCAGTTGTTATTGCGCAACAGATTAACCAGGTTGCTAGCATACAATCTGTGAGGATCTCTGTAGCCTGCAGTTGCAACACATGGTACTGTCTTTGTTACACAGACCCCCTTCTCATGGGTACAGATACAGGATTGAAATTGAAATACCATATTTAGTCGATTAAGCGCCCAACCTCGAATAACTGCCCACACTATAGGCAGGAAAAGTTAATAAGCACCCACCTCCTACCACCCCCCCCCCCCTCCCCCCACACACACACAAAAACACTGACCTTACTGACAATGAGGTTGAAATAGACTAAGGTCTACTAAGAGAATCATTGAAGACCGAGTTTTCTATGCATTTTAAAGAAACTTTCAATGAACTGTTAAAATTCTGCTTTGGAACATCAGGAACATCTTCACGTTTTTTTTCCAAAATTGGTAACTGTTGCTGAAAATTGCGAAAATTTAATAAGCATCAAACCTCGAATAAGCGCCTACTCTCAAGGTCTAAAATTTAATAAGGCGCTTCATTGAACAAATAGTTATTGAAATTCTTGTGCTGCATACATAGTAGGTGGATGACTGAATCATTGAGTTGATAGTACAGAGATTTAAAGGCTAACTAACATTTTGAGCACTAGCCCTTTCTCGGAGGGAATCAATGAGGAAGTTCTAGAAACACCAACCTTCATAAAACCAATTAGTTTAAAGGAATTCTGACAACCCCTAACTACACTAAACTAGTTAAAATTTTCATACTTTACATTATGTGAAATATCGAATGTTCAACTTTCTGCGTGTAAAATATTCTTTAATTACTCTTTAATTAAATTTGATTTTCCATATTCTGCATTGTGTCAAATATGAAAATTGTAATATCTGCATGGCAAAATAATACTGAAATGTTAATACCCTCTATTTCAAATCTGTAAATATCAATATTTTACGTTATGTCAGATATAAAATTTTTAATATCCGTTATGTCAATACTGAAATTATAATATCTCTCTATGTAAAATCTCTAAATTTCAATAATCTGCAATATCTCAAATAACAAATTTTCAATATTTTGCTTGTCAAGTATTGGACTCTATAAATAATTTCCATATTCTGCATAAACAAATAAAATGAATAATGATGAATAATAGCGAATATTTTAATACGATAAAATACCCATCAGTGGATAAAAACACTGTTGTCAATAGTCCTGTAAAAAAATTAAACAACTAAAAGATAAAAATAGGATACGATAGAAAACTATGACTATGACTATAGGATAAAATGCTAAAAGACCATAATTACACTGTGATTAAAACAATGACCAGTATTCCACTTCAACTTGCCCTATACTGCCCCAGCTGACTGCACTAAGAACACCATCAAGAATTCTGCTGTTGAACTACCACCACCTACAGACGACCTGCTCAACTTTTGGCTAACTTTGACGCACTGTATGTAGAAAGGCGAACACTACAAATAGTTACGCGGAACGGCTATGGACGCTCCAGTTTCTGTTGTAGCAGGATCCTGGTCCTAGAATTTTATACACGAACATACCTCTTTGGTTACGCTACTCTGACGACACCTGTACACAAATACAAGATCAACGATGTCATTATTGGTATTATGCCGGAATATGGAAATATTTATATTCGACGTGAAACTTATTTCGGTATTCTGCATTATAGTCGGGTACACAGGGCACCAAAACGTGACACCCACGGGCATTTTTGCCTGATTTTTGGCAACATAGCTATTTTGACTAACTTGAATACGCTGTTTGAAAATCATTGTTGGACGGGTTAAGGGGTACTTGGGTTAATTTTACTGGGTAGGTGCCGCTGGCATCTCAGAGCCCCTACCCCATTATAGTCTATTCTGTGACCAATTATAGACCCCATCTTAGTCACTTTTGGGCAAACATGTAATTTTCGCAATCCCAGCTTAGTCACTTTCTATTTTTATGAATTGACCCATTTTTTAAACTGATTGAAGAACACTTTACTCTTCACCTACACTGACAAACATTCTAGTACATTTGCTAACCGTAAATAAGAGGAACTGTCTTACCCCAAAAAATCCGAAAATGTGCGACCCCATTGTAGTGGCTCCATTGAAAATGCGACCCCACTATAGTCAATCCAGTCGTGAAAATGCAACCCCATCCAGCGGCACATCCCCATTAGTAGCCTCTTATAAAGAAGTACACCCCGGGGTTCCAGCCTGGCCTTAGGTGTTCAGAGAGTGGAGAGAGTGGTGCTGTAATTGAGAGGGGAGGGGAAAAAATGGAACAAAAGGGGGCGAGGAGGGAATGCCGGTGAAATTTGTTTTCAAAGACTTATTCCGCCCACTTTGTCGACATTGTTGCTAAGCTCAATTCTTGTGCTAACATGGTATTCTGGGGCATTTCAATATGACGTCATTGTCCAATTAACGTGTTTTCTTCCCTTTAACACTGATTTTAAGTTACATATAACCGATATAACCAGAAACGCTTTGAAATTATTAGCTGTGGTCACACTACAGACTTTTTACCCGGGTAAACTCGACTTGTTGACAGTTTACCTAGGGAAACTTGATTTTTTAAGTGTGACCGATTTTCCCCTAGGTAACTTACCTCAGGGTAATTTTATCGTCTAGGGCTTGGATATGTCTCGAGAACAATAGATTTTCCCTTGACAGGGACCCCAAAACAATAGCTTGGGAAAAAAGAAATACCGAAGTTGCTAGCCAACACTATAGACGCTCGTCGGCGAAGGTCTTGATGACAGAACCGGACATAGCTCACGCGGTGAAAGGTATTTTTGGGGCACGAGTTGTCTTAGCCTCCCCGCAGACGTCCTTTGGGGTTCGTTCGTCACAGAACCCCAAAGGACGTCTGCGGGGAGGTTAGAGTCGGCTACGTCTTAGCCTGTCTTCACCTTGCACGTTGAATTAGCGTAAGAAATAACAGCGAGATAAAAGGAAAACAAGTCCCTTTGATCGGCTAGATCCATGCTCAACTTGGCTTCTTGAATTTACGCTCCAAAAAATTCAACTGTGTGTGAAAAACTTGGGAGCCGATATCGGTCGGGTGACCTTCCCAGAATTTTTTACCTAGGTAAAACAAAACCCGAGATGAACTTACCTTGGGAGATTTTTGATGAATTTGCTCTAGGTAAATCGGTTTTACCTGGGTAAAAGTCCGTATAAGAGTACACTAAAGATAATTTCCGACAGTTTACCACTGTTTGATAAGCCATAACGTCACCATCGACCACGCCCTCTCATATAAAATTCACCTCCGGTCACGGGTATAGTGGGGTGCCAAATACGCTCCTTGCATAGTTTTGATATTTTGGCGAAAAACATTTTTATTGTTATTGTTGAATCTAATTCATTTCACACTTTACTTTGTTGGGTTCATGATAGTGACTGGTTGCATTCATGTAAAAATTTCGAATTTATAAAACATGACAGGACGTTGCTCCTCAACTCTAAGGTTTCAGTCTGCTACCGTGTAGCATGAAAATTTTGCGGGTTCTAATTTTTGAGAATTTTGCGGATTGACCTCGACCCACAAAAATTAGTTCCCGCAGAAAAAAAACCCCGCAAAATAAATCGCCGCAAAAATTAACTCCCTTCAGTCAAATTAAAAACTCTGCTTTTAGTGGACTTGTTGTGTATGGCAGGGATAGGCTTTTGTTTTGTCTTGCTGTTGTTCAGTCCCTTTGTGCAGTAAGATATTACAGTGATTTCCCCGTTGCAAATACATTCATTGTTTTCGCGTTAAAATACCTCTAAAGTTTGACCATATATGGTCATGAGGCGGGAAATTTGAATTTCTTTAATTACCTGTAAACGCATTCTGCTTTTTTGAGAATATCAAACTTTCAACACCGTCTCTGTCAAAAAAGTAATCAGCAATTTATGTAAATATAGAAATCCTTTGAATTTTCAAATTTTACATTACGGAAATCCTAGAAATTTAGACATTCAGCTTATCAAATACTCGAATTTTACTTTCATGTTTGTTAAATATTTTAGATAACGGGAAATATTGAATTCTAAATTTTCTGTATCTCAAACAAGGAACTCCTTAAATTTTCATCTGATGTTAAATGTAAAAAATTAAATAATTTGGATCTCATATATTGAAATATTACTCTCCTGTATTTTAAATGTCTAAATTTCCGTAATTTGCATTATGTAAAATATCGAATTTTAACTTTCTGTATGTCAAATATCGAACTCTTTGAATTTTCATTTTCTCTATTTCGTAAAATCCAGGAATTTAATATTCTACATTTTAATTACTGAAATTTTACTCGAGGGTACGTTTAATGTTTAAATTTTTCATTTTCGGCCTTATGTCAAATAACTGAATGGAATGTTTATATTCCGGATGTGATACAGACGAATTTTACTCTTTTATGTTCAATTTGTCAATTTTTATATTATCTGCTATGTAAAACATGGAATTCCCAATATTTTGTAAATCATACATTGAACTCTTTAAATTTTCATATTCTGCATTATGTTAAATATGGAACTTTAAATATTATGCATATCAAACACTCAATTTTTACTCTTATCCATGATAAATGTGTAAATTTCCATCTTTTTCATTACGTAGAATATCGAAGTTTCAATTTTCTGTATGTCAAATATTGAACTCTTTAAATCTCCATATTATGCATTATGTAAAATATGGAAATTTTTATATTTTGGGAGTAGTCTGTCATACGTTATATTTACTGTGTAAATCTCCATACTCTCCATTATGTCAAATATCGAAATGTTCATATCCCGGATGTTCTATGCTTAAGTCTTTTTTGCTACTAGTCTCTTTATTGGCTAAACTTTCGGCTATTAAGGACGGTGCTTGGATACCAATAGGCTTCCGAACCCAGCCGCATTTCCAGGTGGAGAGAAGCGATGACCGGAAAAATGTCTGCGTTCGCAAGTTGGGTTATTAAGGGGACTTCTTATAAATCAGCAACAAAAATCTAAATAAAAATCAGACTCAAGTTAAAAGCAATTTAAAAACTTTATTGACCTATATATTCCACGAACTTTTCTCATTTTTATACAACGTCGCGAATGCCGACAGCCACTCTACAATTTATACTATCTAGTTGAAAGAGAAAACAATAACAGTTTATACTGTTTCATCAGTGGTGCATACAAGCTCTAACAATCCGTGATAACATCATTACCTTATCATGTTATAAATACTGCCTGGCAAAAAAAACTGTACAACAGAGTGAAAAATAAGCCTTAAACAAAAGTTGGTTATTAAATACCTATTTCTTAATGATGTATATTTTCACGACGTTACAGAGAGAACTCCGAGTTTTGTAGTTCTTCACGATGACATTACAATTGTCGCATTGAAATGCTTAGATAATTCCAGTGGTGGGCAAAATACTTTACAAAATATACTTCACGAATTACAAGGAAATGTGCTAAATTCTCATATAGTTATCTGAGAGTTTGCGATTGAAATTAAATGAAGCATTTTTTCTGCTTCGACCACCATTTACTATTTGAGTTGGTTTTAGAAGTTAAACTTACCTGTTTACTCGTCTGAAAAGCGGTGTTGACCGTGCAAAATTACGTTAAATATTTGTCTATTTTCATCAACGTCAAAACATTCCGGATACGCGAGAGGCAAATACTGATAGATACTTTGAAGAAAAAAAAACATGGTGATAAAATCCAAAGCACCTCATATCATAGTTATTAAAGTGGAATGGTTATGAAACCCGTTAGACTCTTTTGTTATATGTTTTTGTTAGCTTTTTTGGACCCGACAGTGCACAACGTTCAATAGCATTCCTATCATTTTGAACTTACTGACCAATAGAAACATCGCATTAATTTATTCACTCACAGTTTTTGAACAAAAAGCAAAGGATTGTGCACGGTCAGGGAGTCAGGCGCGGATCCACACCGGTTTCCACCGTTTTACGGAAATCGGTCAGATTTTTCATAATAAATATATTTTTGATAATAAAAAACACTTTCCAAGTTGAAACCTGGGCAATATACTGCCTTAGTGACTCGAAAAACCCAGGAAAGGGGACTTAAAGAGTTAAACACCAAAACATCTCTGGGGGAGCCTGCCCCCCAGACCCCCTTAGATAGTGCTTGCGCCTTCGGCCCTCGTTTAGGAAATCGGTCAGTATTTTTTCCAGATCCGCGCCTGGGAGTCCAACATAAACTACAGCACCGTTGCTTTCAACTTTGATGTTTGCCGGCTTTCATAACCACTGTGTCCTCTACTAACTATGCTCAAACTAAGTCCCATGTGGAGTTTTGAATTATTACATTTTGAAGCGATTACAAATCAAACCTTTTCGGGGCACACCTCTGGCAATCCAAAAAATAATATACCCTAGTTTTCGTTGGAATGGACCCGCCATATAATTTAAGCTTAACTGTGAAAATTCCAACCTTAAGGACCACTCTATGCTTGTGCAACAGTCACTTTAGTTTAAACATAACAAAAATACATGATTTTATAACTAAACCAAAAAATAAATACTGCCGTTGAATCCTGTAGGTCCAATCAATGCATTGATTCCTGCAAAGTTAAAAATAATGATATAAAATGAAACATAATTGCTGTTATTGTCGTTGTTGTAAATATTATCATTAACAACACCACTGACCAAGAACGTGATTGTAAAACAAAAGCAAAGGAAAAGGTCAATCCGAAATGGAAATCATTAATCAGTGTCAAGCCTGTGTTTTCCCATCCTTTTTTAGTTGTTATTGATATTGAACTTTCTCTTATTATGAATTTGTACAAGTACTTACCACCATTGGTCTCCCTGTGGTTTCAATAGGCAGTAATAACGTGCAGACAGTGCATAACAAGGACATTAAGCCATAGACACCTAACGCTAAACGTAGTGAGACCCTGAGCAACACCTGAGAAGAAAAAAAACAGTAATGATAAACCCTAGTTAGAAATGATACCTCGTACTCACAGAAAACCAAATTCTGGTCTATTTTTGTTATCTTTTGTCAAACTTTATTTTGTCCGATTGATTGAAAGCAAAAGAATTGTTATCACCCTCCTTTTCCCCTCATTCATTTCTAACGTTTTTATGCTACAAACATTCTTATAACTTGTAGGAGAAAAACTATTGTCCCAGTCGTTACTCTGTCAAAAGATGCTATTGTACTTCTTACTATGTTAGATTCAGTACTACTCGCTTTCAACTCCGAGCCTATTACGTTGTGTCTTGAGAATATATGATTGATGTAATATATCAAACAAGAGATGCAGTGTTTCATCACCAGATGAAACACTGAGAAGAGAGTTGAAAATACGACGCGCAGCGGAGTATTTTTGACGAACTTCGAGGTGTTTCATCTGGTGATGAAACACTGTGTCGAATGTTTGATATTTCTTCTCAAACAAAATCATTTTTGAAGGAGAAATTAAGGATGCAAATACTAAGCAGTGTTTCATCCGATTTCCAAACACTCATTAAACATTAATTTCCTTTGTATTTTCTTAATGAATTATTAATGAGTTTGAGAATGTGATGTCAACTTAGGATTCTAGAAGCATCTAAGTGAGAGACTACGGGAGGGGGAGAGAAACCAAAACAAAGGATGCCCTCGACGAACTCGCACGGAAACGCTTGCTATGCAGGCTAAAGTTACGGGAGCTACACATGTTGGAGGTTTGGGTCCGCCCCAAATGAAAGCTATAGGTATATCATGTGTTAGTCGATGAACGAATGCGTCTCAAAACCTCATTCATACCTGTGATATAAAAGGTGTTATCATTGCTCCAACACGAGCAACTGCACTGCAGAAGCCAAGACCTAGAGCACGAACTACTGTTGGATAAACCTAAAAACGAAACGAAATACAAGAAACCCATTCGTCTGCAATTATTGAGTAATTTGTTTCAAATTCAAAGGCTTATGATCCGGGTTTACTAATGCCACTTTAACAAGATAAGTCAGCCTTTCTTCAATTTTGCAAGACCTATTTCTGTTACATAAGTATTACATGTTTTCTTTAGTGTCATAATCTTTGTTCAGTCTATTACATGTACCTCAGGTGTATAAACATAGAAGCCTTGGAATGCTCCTGATATAAATCCTCTAACTCCAAATATAAACACTGTCATCATGGTTCTGTGAGAAAAATACACAAACAAAGTGAATAATGAATTATTCTGTATTAGTAAGCTTAATTCATCTTTCCTTAAAATTCCATACAGTACATCATTCCGCAGCTTTTGTAACCTCCTTAGAACGTACGCATTTTGGATAGATTTTTTCAAGGCTTTGCCAAGTTGATTTGATGTCTTCCAAGTACAAATTGACTGTAGAGGTGAGAAAAGGACAAGCTTTGGAGGTGTGAATGAGATAATCATATCAAGACAGAGGCATTTCAAACTCGGCAATCACTTTCCCTGACCAATACAGAAAACAGGGGGCCATGGACAGTCTAGTTATCATTTTAAACATCTCTTTTCAACTGAAGGGACTCATTACCTTAAGGTGGCTCGACTGGATTTTTGGGGGTTGATACCTCCCAACTTTGAGCATTAACTACGTCGGCATGAGTAAAGATATGGAAAAAATGTTACCACAACTGTATTATATAAAGATGAAAATTTCTTATGATCTGGGTTTTATTGCAATCGGAAATTTTTCTATAAATTCGACAATCCCGAGATCAATTGTCAAGGAATATTCCCTGCAAGTTTTAAGAACATTGAAAACAGGGAAGGCTTTTAAATAGGGCCTCAAATATAGCCAATTTTCCCCCCAGATTTTGTGTTTACAAGTGAGCGTCCTCATTATTCACTGGCATTGTTTTCAAGTCTCATATACACGTGCACATTTAGCAAAAAGATAGAATTTGCATCGAAAAGGACCCTCGGTTAAATCTCCGGGATATGCTAATTACCGGGTAAAGAGATTAATGATATATTGTAATATCAGAGCAACTCTTTGTGAGAGTTTCTGTGATGTTATAACCCGAGTAAGATAATTAAGTATTCCACCCTAGACGATGAGCCGTGACGTTCACCTTTTCGGCTCTCACTGCTGTCTGTGACGACAAGCCAATTATTAGCATACTCCAGATATTTCTTCGGAAAGTAATCGAGAGTTCTTTTTGATGCAAATTTATAACTTTTGCTAGTTGTGCACGTGCATATGAAACTCGAAAACAATGCCAGTGAATAATGAGGACGCTCACTTGTAAACACAAAATCTGGGGGAAAAATTGGTTATATTTGAGGCCCTATTTAAAAGCCTTCCCTATTTTCAATGTTCTTGAAACGTGCAGAAAATATTTCTTGACAATTGATCTCGGGATTGTCGAATTTATAGAAAAATTTATCGAGCGGTTTTTGGAAAAATGCGACATTTTTAGGCATGGACCAAATTACGTCCAAAAACTGTATCAAAAGCAGCTAAATGTAAGTTAATAAAATTCTTATTACTCGCGATCGTCCAGAGCAATTCCCCTCTTTTTTCGTATGCAGTTTTCAATGGAATCAAACCACTACGAGCTGAAGCCTCGTTCCCAAAGCTTATCATTTTCTTAAAATATTAGCGAATTGTGTTGGTAGCATGCTATTTCACTGTTTTTATTATTCTTAAAACTACATTTCAAAATATTTCGAAAACGCTCTCATAGAATTTGTTCAAACTATGCTATAATGGAGGCAATTATAGCAGGTACATACTCCCTAAAGCGATTTCTTCAAAAAACTCTTGGAACAGAGAAACACAAAGATAAATGAAAAACATAATGGCGTCATTACGTTGCCATGGCGACTCCGATTGCAATAAAACCCAGATCATAAGAAATTTTCACCTTTATATAATACAGTTGTGGTAACATTTTTTCCATATCTTTACTCATGCCGACGTAGTTAATGCTCAAAGTTGGGAGGTATCAACCCCAAAAAATCCAGTCGAGCCACCTTACCAATTAAGAACTTTAACTCTTACCTTCCAGAACAGATAAATAGAAGAAAGTAGCAAACTGAAGTTAAAAAGAATTCGATTGCCATGGTTTTCTTTCTTCCAAGTTTCTCCAGCATCAACATGGTCACAATGATGCCTAACAAGAAGGGAAAATCATGACAACTTTTTTATGTGTTATCATTTACCAATTCATTTTTAAGTTGTCCTACATTGATCAGTATATTTACTTGCCACATTTTAAGTTATGAAATTATTAAGTAGACCTACTATGGAATCAAAATTACTTCAGACACTCTCTCCAAACAGATGGTAATAAATTATTATTGTGGTGACCATCCTTTTGAATCGGGGCACCCGACGACCGTTTTCTATAAAATATCTGTTTGGAGAAGAAAATAATGCCTAGAATTTTCTATTACCTGAGGGTGGTTACAAATTTTTAGATGACCGTTCCATTCATGTACAATTTTTGAAGCTTATCTAATAAATTCCCTACGATTTTCTGAAGTTTAATTTTCGCATTTTACTTCCCAAGTTAGGCTATTTTTCGTAGATAAAAGGAAACCTAAAATTTGTGCATTCAAAAAAGTGATGGAGAGAGGAATTAGAAAATGTCTTACTTTCGTAATATGTCAATTTTCCTCTAAAATTTTCAGGAAAATAATACTCAAGCCCTTGTAATTTCGAAAAGACTCCAGTTCCCCTACCTGACTGAACAGACACAAATTTTATAGCGCTGCTCAGAATGCTTTCTAGAGATCTAAAAGTACTCTGGATAGCCTAAAAAGTGTTTTCAATGTATTTAGGAGGAAACCATCATTCAGGGTGCCCCTGTTTGAATTTTCCAAAAAGAAATTAAATGGGAATATAAGTGTCACTTCCTCTTAAGTCTCTTTAACAATGCACAACTGGACAGGTGGTTTTGATCTGGGGTGGGAGAGAGGACCAGTCTGTTATGTTAACTGCATTACACAAAATACTTTTGTAGAAGAGAGCCGAAAAACATGGTAATTGAATTGATACATGTAAGTGGTTTCGGGGTTTTTTTTTGGTGCCTGTGCCCTTGGCTGAAAAACACCATTTTTATTCTCATATTTTTAAGTTTTGGTACCATGAACTAATAATTCTCCCAGGATCCCAGGAATATAAGGTACCATGTACATATCTCCAAAACCATGATAATACACTCCTTGCACACTATTCATACAGTGCACAGGGGTCCTCGAAACTCAACTTCTAGTCTATTACAAATAATCATGCTATATAATTTTCATTTCCTTTCCCCTTGAAGATAAAGTTAAACATGTAAGCCATAATGTTTTATTCTGTACCAGGAAACTCAGCAAGTGTGGTCCACAGCATGTCTGTGTAGTCCTTAAAAGTGAGAAGCTGACATCCACAGTCAGGATTCTTAACTGCACCAGAATCTGTGGCTGAAAATAATGGTAGTTGCTTGCCTTCAGATATGATGCAGAGGTGGTACTTTCATGTACTGTAACCCCGTTAGGGTGTTCATCATAAAAATTAGTGGAGAACATTCTAGATGTTCATCAAATAAATACTTAAACCGTTTAACGAGTACAGTAGTCCAAGTTTAAATAAAGTTATTATGGTCAATTTATTGTTGAAAATACCTAAATTAAACTGCTTCCTTACATGTAATTGTGTTAATTTTTATTACTCATTAAATTATCTGTTAAGTGAAAAAATATGTTTTGTATCAGTAAGCTAGATGGTTTATTTAATGACAGATATCAATAAGTGGTTTCATTCGTACCTCCACAGCTTCCTTCAGATTCACTTAGTCCTTGATACATTTCTGTAGTCATAAGCACTATTCCATAATATGTAAATGCTAAGTTAAACCTGTAAATGAAAAAAACTTTTGACAAACTATGTACCTGCAAGATTATTTCACTTGGAAAGGGACACTTATTACTGGACTCAAATTTTTTGAGGTAAAAGTTCTTACTGAGAGAATTACCTACATGGCAAAGTTTCTGCCCACATATTTGCAATAATTTTAATATATCATAACTCATTTCTGAGGTTGCTCCAATGACAGCCATGCAGATATTTCAATCCTTATACTACTAAATGAGAAATTTCTGCAATCTGATTGCCTTAGAGAAGTGGTATTTCAGCTTTATTTGAAATACCTACATGGAAAATTAAAAACCTTTTGCGGGTAAAACAAATAATAGCATGATTTGTACATGATATTATTTTGGCATAAATACCACATGATATTTCAAAATTGTCTCAAATTTCACTCGCTTAACAGCTCGTGAAATTTACGTATAACAATTTTGAAATATCACTCATGATATTTATGCCAAATATCACTACTAATCATGCTGTGACCTAAACAAACAAATTATAACCTAAAATTTTTCATTACCTTAAAGTACATGTAGTCAAATTTATTTCGCTTTCTGAGGTATCATTTCTTACTAATAGGAGAATACCTTTGTGGTGAAGTTTCACAATATGTCAGAATATTTTCAGTAATGTAATATAATATTACTCATTACACTGAGGTTGTACAATATGCAGCTCCAACAACAGCCAAGATATTTTAATCCACACAATTACCTAAAAGTAGTCCTTATTTTACATCAGTAACTTGAAATAGTCCTCATCCAACAAAAAACACTGAGGCCGATGGTGTGCTCATTTTACCCCCTCTATCTATCAGTGCTCTGTTTTACGGGTTTTACTTGTTTTCCTAACCTAAATTTAACAATACTCACCAAATAAACCACAACAAAATTGTTGTCTTTCTAAATTCTGGACTGATCAAGTCTTTAAATTGTCCTTGTCTACCATTCTGAGGGCAAAATTTAATACTTTTATTGAGTACTCATACATCAATGGAATAGACAAGATTATGTAACAATACTATTATCTATAGTTTTCAATCAAGATATATATTTTTAAAAAATCAAAAGCTGTCTTATGCAGACATCTGTAGATAATCAGTGCATGGTGGTGATGTTTTATTGATAAAATGCTCCTACTTGTTGTTGTTTTAAAATAACTTTGTTACATCCATTTTGAAATCACTGGTGCAATCTGATTGGCTCTCAGCAGAGCGATTTATTCACAAATCACACTATTTTTTGCCCTAAATCACATCTGTCCTGAATCACATCATTCATGTTCTAAATTGCCTCACTTCTGTTTTGAAATCACACCATTTTTGCTCTATATTGCATCATTTCTGTTTCGGGTACAAAATGAGATTAAAAACCTTTTTGTTTCCACTTTTCAAGAAACTGGCTACTAGGTCAAAATTTAATAGTAATGGTACTGACTGAACTCTAGGCCACTTCAAAATGGCTGTAATAAGTTGTAATTGAACTTTGTGTCATACAATGTTGGTCTGAAATCATGCATACTTGTAATTCAAATTGAACTCGCACTTGTCCGATTTTAAAATCACTCATATGATTTAATTCAGACCAAATTGCACTCCACTCAGTTCATATTACTGTTATTATTAATCCTTAACTTACCTCACTAGCATCTTTAAGAATTCCTACAGGCATTTCACTTTTGTTGACCCTTGCCACCCTCTGAAGCATTCTAACTGCTTTTTCTTTCTCACCTGCAGCAAGGTAATATCTGCAGGACTCTGGGAGCCACTAAAAGAATTATACATAATTATTATTTTTGATCAGTGAAACATTTTTGGGCAAGCAGTTCACCTAAAAAAAAAACTGGTCTATCAGTCAAATTCTATTCGCAGTGAAGACACAGGTTTACTTTATGTTTTTTTATAATTGAGGGTTTACAAAAAACAAAAAAAATCCTCTAATGCAATGCATATGTTCTTAATCTAAAAATCAAACAATAAAAAATTCAATGATTATTTATCTTAAAGTTCTCATCAATTTTTTATTTTAACAATAAATGATAAAATTTTCAATTGTCAGCAGTACTCACTCAGTCTTACTTACATAACTCATAGCAACAAACAGTAGAAGTGGTAACGACAAAAATCCAAGAAGCCATCTCCATCCCAATGATGGCATCACAGCCATAGCAACTCCTACTGTGAAACAAGATCCTATTGCCCAAAAAAACTGTAATGAAAAGAAGCAAATATTTTAATTGCCTGCGTGCAGACGTCTCCTATTTCCTTTGTTGCACGCGGAAAAGGGACGTCTGCGTAACGCCGTCGCTAATCGTGTTCCAGCGTCCCGCTGGCAGGGTACTTTATTTCGCATAAATTGTGAAATAATATCCGGTTAGAAATAAGAGTTGACAGGCCAAACAAAACATCATATGCTCGTGATACGGCCGAAACCTGACCTTGAGAGTCTGCTTGAACAGAGGTTTTTCTTCTTTTCTCTCTCGCGCAAAGATTACTAGCACTACACAGTGCATGTAGCATTCTAACCTTTGCATGAGTAAATCTCATTTTTGCTGCGCTAAGTCTTCCATTTAGAGGTAATGAAGCAGGTTTGTTACATGCATACTGAGTAATCATTTCCTGTGGTTTATGCTTCTGTGGGTGTTCCCGATTGGATTTGATTTCAAATGCGGTTGTAAAGTGTTTAAATTTTCTTGACCTCTGTTTGTTACGGCTAAATAAAGATTTTAGTTTCTTTGGCTGGCTTTCTCCGAAATGCCTGCCTGGTGCAAAGTCCAGTGTGTAGTTTTCTCAGACTCTGTTTACAAATATGATGTGATGTGTCATGCACAGTAAATTGTAAAGAAATAATTTCCTCGTACACGTTAAATTTTCCGCTTCCCCGCACAAGATTTTGATCGCTCTGCTTTTCGATCGACGAAAAAACACAGCACACAATCGCACATGTTTTGATTTATTTTGGTTAGAAAACCCCGCTTACATAAATCATTTAAATCACTGCATACATTATCAGACCACATTCGATAACAACCAATCAGCGTTAAGTCAAACAATGCGCACTGTGTGTCAGCCTATCACAGCGTGTTCCCAAGATCTTGGGAACCCAGCAGGACGCTGGAACACGATTAGCGACGGCGTTATGCAGACGTCCCTTTTCCGCGTGCAACAAAGGAAATAGGAGACGTCTGAACGCAGGCAAATATTTTAATAACATTACTTTATTACTCTCATACCCAGATCTCTTGCCAACAAAACTGAAGCGAGATCTGATCAAATCTGATTTGTCCAAGTGATCGCCTGTCAGGAATGTGAAAGGCGGTGTAAGAGTACATACTTGAAATAAATTCTCAAATGGCAGCCATGATACAGCTATAATGTACGTCAGTTAAAAAAATAAGTATTTTTGTTACATTCCCTTTGAAATACTGAAACGACGAATTTCCCTACACTTTCATATACTCAGCAACTAAGAAATCCATAACCTTTCACATACCTGAAAACAGAAAACAGACAAAGGTTCAGACTCCAAATTGGCACCCGTTCTAAAAAAAAAATCCCCTAAAAGGTCGCCCTAAAACTGATTCCCCGTTCTACAAATGGGCCCTATCATTGAAGTATTTTTAAAAAGCAATTTGTCCTTGCCCAAATGGCTGCTTACAAAATACACCTAGAAAATCATAAATGGCTTCAAAATCACGACCCGCTGGATGGCACATACCCAAAGGGATACACCATCATTAGTACCCACAGGGATTATTAGTCGCATCAAATTTTACCAACAGCAAAATGCGGTACTATTAATAATCTTGCACAGCCCATCAACACCATCACTTGATGAAGACCAAGGCGGAAAGTGGTTCATTGTTGCAATCAATAGCAAACTGATTACTCTGAGAAAAACTAATAACTACACTGTATCCAAAACAATTTTATACATACAAGAATATTTAACTCTAATGTTAAACCTACAGTTGGAGCTACAATAAAGCAGATATGTAGACATGTCAAAGTTGGAAATCTCCACAGATTTTTACATGTTGTAAATTGCTTAAATAAATAATATTTTAAATACTATCTGACATTAACAGCTTAAAACATGAACAGTTTACTTCTTACAGAAAGAGATAATATGCAGTATGATCGAACACTTGATGGAAGAAACTCAGCTAAAAGTGTTGTTCTGAAAGAAAAGAAAGAAATAAACATTACAGTGCATTAAAATAATTGACTTTAAAAATATATATCTAAAATCTTTAAAACAAGAGAATAAATTTGGGGGGGGGTCAAGCGATATGATATTATTGCTTTTAATTTTAAGCCCTGTCCTAATTCCAATGCCAGCATAAACTGCCTATCAAACTGAACTTCAAAAAGGGTCCCCCTCAAGTACAGGCTTGGGGGGGTCCATACACCCCATGTCTCACAAGCAACAAGCACCTCCCATTATCATACCAGTATATAATCCCTTCTTTACCTCGCATATCTGAGGTAGACCTCTCCCATAATCAAAACTCCAGATATGCCCCTGCACCCATCCTTTGGGTTACACTTTTTGTACCTCTAAAAAGCACACCCACTTATAATAAGCCCGAGCTAGCCTAGAAGCATACACCTACAAAGATAAACCCCAGGGGCTAAATAGAGGAAATATGGTATATCAATAATTTCCATATGCACTAATAGCACTTACGATTGTGGCGCACCACCAATTCCAAAACCAACTAAACAACGTAACGCTATGATCCAGTAATAGTGAGGTGAAAATGAACTAATTAATCCAAAATAAAAGATCCAGGTTGCACATATTACTATGACCTTGACAACAAATCAGGAGAAAAAAACACAATTAATAATCACCTTGTGGCTGTTAATTACATGTAGCAGGAGGCAATTTTTATTTGCCTAAGTGAGGGATTTATTCATAAATTTACCAACAGACAAAGAAAATCATGAACAAATGAAGTATTTTGGGCATGTTCTTTGTGTCAGATACACACTCACTGCCAGCTTCTGAGGGAAATAGTTTTGTTTCCCAGAGTCTTGATGTTATATTGACAGAAGTATGAAAAACACAACAACCATGACATTAACAGCCCATTCCATCGCTCAAGTTCGACAAGAATGTTGGCTATACTCAAGCTTGTCACAAAGAAGTCGAAAAGTCATCAATTCTGTGAAGACAAATTGTTGAAACAAAGGAAAAGGGTAATCATTTACCTGGTTTGGAAATTTTACAACCGAATCATGCACTTAAGTGTATTACTTTATTGTGCAAGTATATATTAAATAAGTGTCTTTACCTAGCTATGTGCATGTACCTGAACTTACAGTTTTTCGGCCATAGTGGTCTGCTAGCCAACCCCAAAAAGATGATCCAATCATCATTCCTACAAAGACAACCTGCCATATAATGATAATATTTTATTAATTCATAGCCCTCCTTCAAAACAGATTTAGGAAGGCACAGTTACTTTACCTTTTTTCACTGGTATCTTACTCAATACTAGTAAAACATCTAATTTTCAATTTATTGAGTTACTTCCACTTTTACTCTGCCCTTCTAGTAATCACTACTCAACATTGCTGGGGCCACGCATGTGCATTACACATGGTTTACAAAGTCTTATGGGTTATATCCTTCCCACAATGCACTGCAGGTCCCAACATTGTGTGGTTCCACTGCCAACATGGATGCAACTTTCTAGGGCCAACAATGTTGGGAGTCGTTCAATGCGTCCATTTGCACGTAGCTTAATATTAATGAATGAAGGTGTTCCCTTAGTGCCATTATCAATGCTCACCGTGGTAACCAAAGCCTCCTTCCAAGATGGAAGATGCCAAATGCAGCGGATTGTTGGGGCAAGAATAGACAGCAACATCATTTCAAGTGCATCAGCAATCTAAAATTTTGATCAATAGCATACATGAAGAAAGACAGTTGTTTCTGTTTACTTCCTAAAGTACCATCCACTCCTCTGCAAAAACAGAGCCATTATTAGACTTCCTAATGGACATCCGATATATCCATCGGGAGGAGACAACGTGGCCAAGCATTTACAGCACTGGACTTGCAATTCAGAGGCCTCCAGTTCAAGTGCTGGCCTGACTACTCGCTGGATTTATTCTCCGTAGTCCCAAGTTCAATTCCTCGGCCACATTGTAAACTAGCCAACTGGTTCTCCTCCCACCAGTTGTGCCTTTTAACCATGTTGCAACATGTGTATGTATGTTCCATTTAAATTATATGTTTCATTATCCCTGAAAAGCCCCATAAGGGGAAAGGATAATTTTGATTTCCAGAACATCATTTTTCAGCCAAGGGTATTTCCCTTCCTCTGGGCGAAGTAAATATACAAATGAAAATTTGTAAGGGATGGTTGCAAGCTCTCCTTTCGCCGGCCCCTTGCAGCTTCGCTGCTCGCTCACGCGTTCTCGCAAGACTCACTTCACTCGCCCAAAAAGGAGAGCTTGCTCGCAGGCTAAATAGATGTTTGTTCTCTAGTTAGCTAGTTAGTTACCTAGTTAGTTAATTAATTATCTGTACGACTAAATTTTATTATTATTATCATTATCATTATTATTACATTGGCATTGACAAAAAGAAGCAACTTTATATAATCAAGAAATGATAAATATAGCCATTAGAGCAACATATTACATCTTTTGTCATAGAAATAGGAATTGGGATAGCCCAGACTTAATGCAATTTTGATTTCTTTTCTTTTCTCTTCTTTTTTTTTTGAATAATCCAATCTCAAGCAGCATTTGTAAATTGCCTATACGTAGCGAGATTTACATTCAAAAACAAAAATAAAGTTTCCATTATTATTATTATTATTATTAAATATTACTTTTTACCCTCCTCCAGGGAAGGGATAGCAAAAAAGGGCACAACAGATACGATGCCTCATAGACTAGCTGCTTGATTCTCTGTCTATCGTTTCTTATATTTGCCTAAAATTAAGGGTCACAAAGGGCCTTGTAATAATTTATTATTATTCTACACACTCCTTTAATTTGTTTTGACCAGTGACGACATCCCCGTCCACATGTAAAAACACGTATAATTAAGTGAATTTAAGTTAGGGATACTTACTACAAAAAAGCCAACCATCCAGATTATATTCATCTGAAATTTGCCAAAGCCAATCTTCTCTACAGCTTCAGACAAAGTGTAAGTTGGCTGTCCAGAATCTGTGCCAGGAGAAAAAATGAGGTCATTAATTAATCAAGAATGTGATCATTTTTGAGCTCACTGCCTTAGAGCCAGAAAGCTTTATGCTATTGTCAGCATAATGAATGAATGAATGAATGATGGTATGGTCATTCTATGGTTCTTGTATGTGCCGTAATGCTTGACCTTCAAAGCCGAAGGGACTTGGTTTGATACCTGCTATCACCCTTTTTTTTAAAATAAAGTAGAATTATTCTACTTTCTTCTTCTTCTTTTTCTTGAGTCAAACAATTTCATATCCTAAAACTAAATTACTCATTTTCAGAAATAATTCTAGTCAAAAGAAAGAAAGCAAAAAGGGATAAATATAACTCTTAAACCCTAACATCAAAGGATACATTCTCATAATTATTACCGCTATACATTTCCTAAACAAGTGGTGGAGGGATGTTCTACTATAGTATTGATTAAATTCATGAACATGAACTTATTATAATAAAAATGTTGAAGAGAATATTACATATACACAGTTATTTTAAAGTATGTGCTAGGGAAGCACAACATGACTGTTGTTTTGCAAGCATGTGGTTTCAGTTCGTTGTCATTGCAGTACCAGGTTCAAAACTCGCCATTGGCCATATTTTTTTTCCACAAATTTTCTTCTTTTTTTATGGTTACTGGATTACAGACTATTCATTGCCAGTGACCTGGTGTCCTCTCAGAGGACTATTTTTACAATGTCTGTGTTGCAGTTATTACTATCACTATATTAAAATGATAATAGTGTTATTATTATTAAATTATTTTTGCTGTTGTTGTTGTAATATACAGGGCATGACAAATATATAGCACAGTCATGACCTGTCAGGCTGGAATGCTTTCATCACTCTTAAATTTTGGCTACTGCCTTTTGAAGAACAAAGGAAGTAAAGCTATCAATGTTCCAGTACAAAATTATTCACAATATTCTGTGCACCAAGAGCTCATTATTTAAAATGAAGAAAGAAGACTCCCTGCGCTGCCCTTTTTGTCCAGCAGATCATCTTTTCACTGAGTACGCGCAAGCCACGTTGTTCTGGAAGGAGTTTCTGGATTGGGCCTCGCACATGGTGAACTCAAAATGAATTTGTTTCCCTAGCTCGTGATAAAATTAGTCTAGAATAATATATTTCTTGTACGACTGGTCACGAAAAAGATTTCAGAACAAAATGGTCTGTTTTTTCGTCTCTTAATACGGTGTGAAATTCTGTTTACTTAACTGATTGCGCTCCCATTTAGTTACCACTAATGTTTTTATTGTGTTAGGTTTCTTTTTTTTAGCTTCACGTTGTAGTTCTCGTTTTGTTGCAGATTGTCTTTTGTGAATGTTAACTGTACGTGTGCATGTTCAATAAAGTTGTATTGGAAAAAGAAAAAAAAGTGCTTTAATCACAAACTTTCAAAGATGCTGAAGCATTACATTTAGCAAAATTTTATTGAAAAAGTAGGTTGATAGGCCTTTATGACATACTGGGCTAGTGAGCCATAATAGCCAGCAAACATTTCTCATCCTTGGAGACGCAAGGGCAGTAATCGGGATCTGGAGAAACGAGACAACAAGGAAACAAGGAAAACATACTTTTTGTAGAAATAGCAAATACTAGGAAGTGTTTGGCTGCAAATAATCTTCTGCTCATGCGTACACGAAAATGACGCTTTTCTCCTTCCTGCAATCACTCTTGTATGAAAAATGGTAGATCGCTTCACTTCCCGAAAGATTTCATTAAAAACACAAACTTGGTGATCGAATAATAAAACAATATATTATGTTATTGAACTCAGTTATCGCAAAATATCGTGATTTGTCAATGTCTCGCAGGTCAGTTATTTGCCAAATCACGATATTTTGCTCAACCTCGTCCAACAATTGTTAATTATTTGCATCTCATTAATAAACAAAAGATTATTACCATATTCATAAGCTTAGCTTGAATTATAGATCAGCTGCAAGTTCATATTTCTCTGATATTTACTCATTAAATGCTAATATATTTATACTTATCATATGAAGCTTCGCTGCATTAAAATACCGTAACAAAAGTATCTTGCAATAACAACTGTTTGAATTAACGGCATAAGTAGAAATTCTTTAAATGAACCTTTAAATGATACGTCAAATTTATTCATCTACAGGAAAACATTTCAGCCGGAGCAAAGGAAGGAAGCCACGAAAATAAAATCGGCAAACAAGTCTTGATACGCCATACAACACGAAATTCCGTTTGAACTTACACTTATTTTATAATTATAAATTAAACTTCCGCGTTGACTTCAAAAATCACGTCACCTTACCTTCTAAATCCTGTTCTTCGAACTCATCGCCGGGTACCAGAGGCATGAATACATCTTCTGTGAGTTCATCAGCTTCTGCTAACCTGTGCCTCTGCGTTGATCGCGATTTTTCCTTCGAAAACGTAACTTCCATATCCGAGTGAAATTCATCGGACTCACTTTCCGTGCCTTCCATCATTAAATTTTGTTTACGTGTCGCTCGACAAGTACCTTTAAATTGCCAGCTTTTTATTGGATGTTTGTAACTGGATGAATTGTTTCGTGTAACATCTGTACTATATCCATACACTCACATTGCGAATAATTGTCGTATATGATACATGAACCCTGACAACAAACCACTTGACTTAGCCGCCATGATTTTTTTTGTTTTATCACCCACAATTCCTATCGTGCCTCCACGTTCCTCCACGCAGCAGTTTTTGCCTCGCCTCGTCTCGGGAGGAGCGTGGGAGTACTGACAGCCTGTGTGATTTTCCGGGTAGATTCGCAACCAGTAAAATTCAGGAAGCTAAAGTTGTATTTAAAACATTGTCTTTTTCCTTTTTGTGTTAAATTTGTTCCCAGTTTACTTTTCGCGCTTTTAGCCAACTGTATGGCCAGCCTGGCACCTAAAGTCTCCTTTCTTTCAGTAGGTGTAGGGTCTTTCTGTCCTGTGTTGTTATATTTCCTTTGAGTAACATGTTCGTTTGACCCAAAAAATTAAAGAGACTCGCATTTTATTATAAGCTGACAATCGAGATGTAATACGAGGAGCAAAACTACTTCCCTGTTTTCAACTGCACGAATGTCTGTTGCGCAGATAGTTTAAGAAAGAAAAACAGGTTTGTTGTGCAGCCTCCTTATATGAGGCTAAGTTACGAGCAAAGAGGTTTGAAGGGATTCTGACTCAGATTTTGCGAAAAAATTAATTTCTACTGTTAGGTTTTAACATCAGGAAGAGAAAAAATTAACGGGTTTTAATTTAACGCTTGATTAGGTTAACAAACTATGACAGTTAAAAGTGGGCTTGTCTCTTGACCTAATGTCATCAGCGAGTGCGTTAGCTTAAAGGTACATAAGTTCTTACCGCCCATATTGTCCTCCATTGTGTCATAGTTCTTGACCTTCGGTGGTGTTGTAGGTTGTTTTGGCAGGGAATCCTCGATATCATTATTTGGAAGAGACGGTAGCAGAGAGTGGGTACCAGGCGAAGGTTTCCCGTCCGTGAAATAACCACTTAGAGCCATCCTTTTTCAAGATGCTAAATGAAGAGCAATATAAAGTAGAATAACCACCTTTCACTACCTGCAGTGTCTGTCAAAAGTTCGCGTTATTCATTAAGTCGATATCCCGAAAGACTTCGACGCAACGAAATCCTCTGAATTTGATCTCTCAGTGTCGTTTTGTTTATGCGAGAAATGTTATTTGGGATTCAGCAATTAGACTGATTAAAGTACCACCAGCTTCTCAAAAGTATTTCGTTTTCACCAAACGTAAGGGGTTTCTACGTAGCGTTTCAAAAGAGTTGACCTGAAAATCATTTCATAATACTTTGTTAGACTATTTTATGATCGATGGAGATAAAATATATAGTTTCTTATATATTCGGGTGTTAGAGAGAATTGCTCTTACACTCTCATTCACTGTGGTTCAACTTAAACGGTTGTAATCATGGGTTGTTATCATGTTTAGAACAGGTACCAACTGGTATAGGCAAGAAAAGTATTAGTGTGCGAGTTTAAGTGGAAGTTAAGGATTATTGCAATCAAATTTTGTTTTATATTAACTGATTTGACCGCGTCAAGAGGATGCTATAAAGCTAACTGACGTTTCAGTGGTAGATTACCCACTTAACACGATTGGTCAGTAAAGATTCATAACATTCATCTGGTATGTGCTGCTCAAAAGTAATTTAGTGACCCAATCTGTTTTAGCTAAAAGAAGAAAAAGGAGTATAAAAACGAATTTTTTGAATATCTTTACCGTAAGCCATGACCAAGAGCAAGTTCTCAAAAGAATGTAAGGGTGCTTGTCATAATTCATTTACACAAACCACCTGAGTGGAAATTTTGAGTAAAAAAATAAAACTATCCAGCAATTTGACGTGGCAAGAGATCGACCAGCTACAAAGTATATCCAAGTATTCTGAACAGGCTAAAACGAGTAGAAAAATTGCATCGCCTTTAAATCACCACCCATATTTTCTGAAACAGTTCCCAGACGTGATGGCGCGAACCATTTGATTTTCCATCCGGCATTTCCGGTTTTCTCGCTTAAATGGTAATTACCCTAACTTTGTCTGGAGCATAATGTTGATGCTGATTCTCAGTCGGCTGTTAGTTATGTAATACAGTCAAACCTCGTTAATAAGGACACTGAGGGGGTCATAGAAAGTGTCCGAAGTAAAAGGGTGTCCGTATTAAGCGGGTTGAATTACACCGTAATTTTTAGGGAGTTATTATAACTCCAAAAATGGAGTAAAAATTTTAGGTACAGGATAACCCCTTTTTTGGGGTTATTTTAACTCCTAATTTAACTCCGAATTTGGGGTCATTTTTACTCCTGAAAAAAAGTTCTTTTTACTCCCAGTCTGGAGTTAAAATTACTCCGAAATGGGGTTACTTGTACCCCTTACATGGGTTGTTTTTACTCTTTTTCGAGTTAATTTAACTCTGAAAGTGGAGTAAAAATTTTAGGTACAGGATAACTCCTTTTTTGGGGTTATTTTAACTCGTCAATATCTGGGGTCACTTTTACTCCTGAAAAAGAGTTCTTTAAACTCCTTTTTGGAGTTAAAGTAACTCCACGAAAAATAACTCCACTGTAAGGAGTTAAATTAGCCCCACTAGAGGAGTTATTACAACTCCCTGAAAATTACAGTGTAGAAGGAATGTAAAGGCTTTCTTTCCCCATGGACAAAGAAAACTGTCCGAAATAACGTGGTGTCCGTAAAATGGGGCTTGACTGTATGATTTTGTTGATACCGTTTAAATTTAAAAAGCCTACACTGCCCTTGGCTCAGCTTAGTCCCTAGGGGTTCTCTCTTGCCCCGTTGTCAGTGCGTATTTCCCGGTGACATCACAGCTCACGGTAGAGTCCAGGATTGACAGAGCCAAGAACGCCGAGGTACTAGGCTGCCCCTGGCTGACATCAGTATAGCCGGACAGCGATTTGACTCTTTGCGATAAATCATCATGTGTAATTGTGAGAAACTGATTCATCTAAGTGCCTGTTTACTTGGGGGTGGGGCACTCTAGGTAGGTGAGGTAACCAGCTTAGCTTTAGGTGGGGTAAACCGCCTGTCCATATAATCTCTCATTTTAATTTTATCACGTTTTTACATGATAGCTGGGGTGACCCGCCACATGTTATCTCACCTACGTTGGGTCCCCCACCTCCATGTAAACAGGCCCTTAGTTCTTATAAATAAAAACATTAAGAGTCTGTTAGCGCGTGACGTTCATACTTGTGCTCAAGCACCGTACACGCCCGGAAAAACTGATTTTTGGCCGATCTTTAAAGTACTATAGCTTTCAGTTCAATGGTATTCGTGCCATAAATTAGACCATTGATAAATTACGTAAGGCTGATGATGACCGGAGTAAGGCTCTTTTCAGTTCTATTTTCCCCTGTTTGTGCGGTGTACCTGACACTACAGGGTGTCCCAAAAGTTCGTTCCTCTAACGTCATGCGCTATAGCTTTTGATCAAAGCTTTATTTTTACATGCAATTTCTAGAATATGTTTATGGCTCTATCGAGTACTTGCATTCAGAATTTCAGTAACTAGCATGGCCCCTTTGTTTTTTTTTATGACATTCTGTAGCTGTTGCAGCATGGGAAGGAATACAGCGTGTAGACCCACAGATGACCCATTTTAAACTTTTTTTATTACGTGGTGCGCAGGAGAAATTTCAACCCCCAAACAATATTTGTTTAGATTAGGCATCTGAAAAAAATAGATTTGGGGCATTCATCAGAAAAAGATAATCATCCCGGCCCCCTTCCACAGCAAGGCGTGTGTACTTCTTCACAAAATTTGAGACGAGCTGAGCGTTACTTGGCAGACTTAGCACAGTTTTTTTCGCCATCTCAGGGGCCTCTAACCTTCGCTTTTCATATACCTACTCGAGACTTGGCTCGCTAAATGCGAGAGCCTCCTCGTCGAGTCTCCTATTTTGTATCTAGCCTTCTTTAAAACTATTTTGGCTGCTTTATTCAGGACTTTTGGTCTTCCCCTTCATTTCTTGCCTTCAAAACCTTCATTTCTCCAGGATCACTTTACCACCCAACATTCGGATTTTTCCAGTTTTTCAGCAGTTTCTACAACTGATAAACCAGAAAATCGAAGTACACATGCTTATGCTGTCACGTACCTGAACGTTTTTGCGCTAAGGGGGTTTATCTTTCGTGATTTCACAAAAAAAAAGGAATGAGTTCGAGCAATTCGCGCTATAAAATACAGAAAATATGTGCCATGGAAGGACAATATACTCGCGCTCGCGCACCTTTGGCGCGGAAGTACACAAATCGAATATTTCAGTCAAAAGATGGCACAACAAGTACGAGAATAGTGAATTAGATTGAAAGACACAACTTTTGTTTAAATGATTTGCTTATCAAGTCCTATAGCACTGAATTATAGACTTATGAAGTATAGGAACGAACTTTTGGGACACCCTGTATTTTAATATTTTGCCTTGTATTAACGTCTTAAGTCGACTTTAGTATGGCTGCCTGATCTTTCTTATTAATTCCCTTTGGTTATTTCAGGCAGCGGGTACGGTTTTGTTGTTACATGTTGTTGTTGTTGCTGACCACACATGGGATACATCAAGGGTCCACCAACCAGTCTGTACAAACAGTTCTTTTCTTTAATTGTGTAGAGTCTAAGGTATAGGCCAAACGTCGAACTTTTCGTCCGACAAACCAAACTTAGTGAGTTAATTCGACGTCTGGCTCAGTTAAGCGTCTGCGCGCAGGCTAGATCGTCCCCGGCACAAACGTCGATCTTTGCATGCTGCGAACTCAAAGATGGCAGTACTGGTATTACAACAAAGTGATGCAGAGTCCGGCTTGGTTATTTAAGGGCTACAAAATCATTTTATTAATTTACCGATTTGTTTGCCCCTTGTCGTGGTATTCAAAAGTATGGTCATAAGAAACAGGAGCCGAATTTTCTTTTTGCTTTACTCCTGGTTGTTCATTCCACCTGAGCAGGTGTCAATAGTACTTAGACGGTTTCTTCCTCTCTTTTTTTTCTTAAAATATCGGTACTAGTGAACTGGTATCAGACCTCTCTCGCAAAGCAAATAATATACCAGCCGTGAATATTGACATTTGCAGATAGCAACAATACTGAATTGTGGTTTAGAGGCTGTTGAATCAATTTAAAGCCCGTCGTCAGCTAATAGAGGCTGTTGAATTAACTTAAAGTCCGTCGTCAGCTAAAATAACTTTGTTAATTTAGAGACGGGGCTGAAAACTTGGTCAAAACAAAGAGCTAGATATCTCGTTGGGATTATTTCTATTTTTAAATGGCGCAGAAACCGTCTTCATTCACTGACCTTTTACTTGAAAAGTTTCCAATGTCAAATGGACCTACACTTCGACACAGAAAACGGAAGTGCGTTATTTCTTTTCGCCCGTAATTGTGTGATAGTCTGTTAAGATTGACCAATTTGGGCGCCCCAAGGTGTGTACTGTGGGGTAAAAAAGAAATAATAAAAATCTTGTGATCACTGATAGTCTTCATGCATTCATGTCATTGTTTTGGATCTCACGAGTTCAGTATGATTTAATAAATGATTCATACAAAACCAACTGAAATCACAATTCATCACACATAAGACAAAATACAAGGCGCTTTTTCTAGTGAGCGAAGAACATTTAACTTCTTACCTTTTTTAGGAGAGCTCCCCATTCTGACTCAATTTAAATGTCGTTTGGGATTCTTCTGAGTAAATCTCGGCAATGAATATTAAAGAGCATTCTTGTCTGTGTACCCTCCCCTACTTTGTCGAACGCTGTGAAAAATTGGCCAATATTATCAAAATGAAAGACGGTGTTCAATTAAATTTTCTGGAAGAAAACAAGTACGATACTCTGCACCAAAGATAGAACTTAGCCTTTTGCCAAGCACGATGAAGCCTGAAGTAACGTTTCCGTAAACATTGCTATATTTTGCATATTCATGAACATCTGACGACATTTGCTCGTGAGACATGTATGAGGAGCATGTTCTCATGCAATATATTTCTCCTTGGTTACCTGAGCCAAGTTTACTTATGATCAGCATTTTCTTTTGAGTCTTAATTTAAGGTCTTTCGCCGGAGAAATTAGAAACACGCCCGTAGGTCCGCCTAGATTGTCCTTTCATTTCAATCAGTGTGCCAAATAAAAGAACAAGGAAAAATGCGAAACTGTAATTTTATTTGTAAAAAAAACCGGCTGAAAACAAACAGAACTATTTAACGGTACTGCATGGTGAAAAGTTTTTATTTGAATGATCCTTGGTCTCTTTCTTGTCAGTTTTGTTTTGTTGCTGTTGTTTTGTTTCGTTTTTTTGTTCGTGTGCGGGTGTATTGTGTACATACAATTTGCTGATATATACAGGGAAATTTAAATAAAGAACAAACAATAATCTTGGAATGATATCTGCCTTCCTTATTTTGTGTCGGATATTTCCTCTTCTGCAGTAAGATGTTACTAAACTGCGAGGGAACGAGGAACGGGGAACGAACAAGGGGAACTGGAGAATATGAAAAATGGAACAAAACAGAGCGATGGGTAATGAAGTCACTGATAGAGCTAGGGTTCAAGATAGGTTTTGTTCCCAGAATACCTATACCTCACCCCACACCTCTGAGTTCGCTCCTCTTTATTTCTTAAAGCTCAAAGTCAACTGTCCAAAGAGTTTACAGCTTCTTTAAATTCACATTAAATGTTGTATTGTAGTTGAATTTTGTCTTCAATCAGGTCATTTCTGCCTTTAGGCTTACCCGAAAGTATAAGCTACAGTCAAACTAACCATTTTACCTTTGGGTAAAAGGCTCTAGCTGATATCCACGGGGAGGAACCTTTTTTTTTGTCACGGTGACCAATTTCTCCAAGATGAAATTGCCTCTAGCAAATTTCCATAGATACGTCAAAAAGAACAAAAGAAATTTCCTATGACCGTTCCCGAAGTAAGTTCATAAGAACCCAAAGCAGGTCAACCAATCACAATGATCACAATGATTTTAAGTTGTAAGTTGTAAGACACCACTTTAGGATAGCTAGGCGTTAGGATCAGTTTCCAAGATGAAGTTACATCATTTGTACTTTATTTGTGTTTCTATTTTCTACTCATTTCATAGAACTACAATTAATAGTTCATGACGTTGACAATGAGAGAAATAAATTGAGAAGGACACGATAAAGTGAATTCATAGCTAATTATATGCCCATTAAATTTAACTCCAATTTTTCGAAGATAAAAGAAAAAACTTCAACCAGGCCGCAAGAGAAGAAACGAGGAAATATGAAAGTGAAATAGCCATCACGAATGTCGCCGGCTGGCACTAAGGTAAAATTTCAGACTTATAGTAGATCTTCAGTTCACTTGTTTTCTGAGAACAAAAAAAAAACGAAAATAGGTTAACATTGACTCATATGGTAAGTTAAAATGCAAGACTTTATTCTCTTTTCTTTTGCTTTGATATCCGCAATGGAAAATATAAGAGTGACGATTCTAACTTATGCTCTTATAGTATCCTTGGTCAAAACCTAGAGGGTTAATTAGTCTTCCTCTCATTTTTACCTTATTTTCAAGCTTCATTAGAGGATATTTATAAAAAAAAGCCGTAACGAGTCAAAGTACACTGGATGGGAAGCTAACTATAAATCTCTGAGCTTTCGCAATATGCATCGCCGGTAATCAGAGCAAACTTCTTATCTAAGGAAGTGAACACTGTGAATGGGCCTCAAACAACCAACATTTGTAAACCTTTAATCCCTTATCCCAGAGAGTCACTAACAATCTAATATCTCCTTATGGTACACTCGGCTCACTCATGGCGCTTTCCATTTGTCAGAAATTTAACTGGCCAGCCGGACCAGTCATTTTGACATTGAAATCGCCTTTTTCCAAGGGTTTTTGTTTCCTTCCTGACTATTCAGGATTTGACTAACCTGAGATCAGGCCCCAATTTTAGAGGTTCTCATACATTCTCTCTAACGGCTACCGCTAAAAGTTTCCGCCTTGCCGCCCTTGTCGCCGGAGTGTTATTTACAAAGCGAAACGAAAATTGAGCCTGATCTCAGGTTAGGATTTGACTAATCTGGATCGATAGTCTTGATTAATAGTGAAATTGTCATTACGTCGGGAACAAGAGACTATAAAGGGGACAGAGAGGGCATCCCCCATATACACCCTATTCCATAGTTAATTCGTCTCGAGTTATTTTTAACACCACAGATCTCAAGGGGGATTAGACAACAGCCAATCACATAGCGCGAATGTGTTCTGCGTGGATGACCCACGCTGAGAGCCACGCGTCCTTCACGAAATGACGCAGAACAAAATGGGGGAAGACGCGGAGAGCGATTTTGCTATTCCTTTTGTCGACGAAAACGACTACAGCGAGATTTCTGCGAAAGCTGTGTCAGCGAAACCGAAATTAAAAAAGAATCGCCCTTCCTCTCTTGCATAGAGCTAACAGTAGAGCAGGGAAATCCTTAACAAACTGAATATTCTCTCAGGATCATTTATAATTTACAGTTTGAAGAGAGCAATTTCTGGTTTGATGTTTATTTTTTTCAGTCTTTATAGCGATTATTCCTACCCACTTACTTTGTCAATTGTGGGCGAACCCTCCTAAAGCTGAATTTCAAGGGACCATATTCAAGCTCAGAAAGAGAAATAAAATTTCGTCGTTGCTTATTTACGTCCTGCATAAAACGCGAAATTAGGCATTTTCACGGCGTAGTCGTGCAAAAACGGGAAAGAAATGAACAAAAAAGTGTGTTGCACGTGCGAATTTGTTGTTTTGCTAATTAAACCTATTGTTTTTTTGACGATCTAGTTGTCTTCCGCGTCGTTGGATCTTAAACTCCCTAAATTGTACAAACGACCGGTTTCAATACACCGGCGAAATTTCTCATTTTTTAAAGCACTGAGGTTACGACAACTTCGAGTTAAACGGATTTCACGGGTTATCAAAGAGTCCAGCGATTCCTTTTTCCCAGGTGAGCGCCGACTCATTTCGCTTCAATATTCAGGAATGCTCTCGATCTTTTTACGCTTTCATTGCCTCTCGCCCGACATGTTTTGCACTGCGTTTGGTCATGCGAAACCTCCACGAAACATCCACGCCTCGCGCGAGGTAACTTTATCCCGATTCTAAAAATAACTCGAGACAAATTACCTATGGAATAGGGTGTATATGGGGGATGCCCTCTCTGTCCCCTTTATAGTCTCTTGGTCGGGAAGGGTCTGGCCCAACCTCGTTCTCAGGGTTCTCTCCTACCCGCCCTACGTAGCGGGCGGGTAGGAGAGAACCCTGGGAACGAGATTGAGTCTGGCCAGCCAGTTCTGACAAATGGAAAGCGCCCTCGGTCATAAGGGTCGTGAGACGAAAAACGGAAATGATCAACAGTCTCAACTGACGAAGTTCTGTTGCCAAGAAATATTCATCTTAAGATAAATAGCCTGCGTAGCAGGCGTTAAAGGCGGGGGAGGGGGGTAAGAAAGAGAGGAAAGGGAGAGGGTATCCCCTCTCCTCTTTTTGCTCCCCCTTCAACATCTAGAGGATAGATTTTAAAAAAAATTGTTGTGCCTTGCCCGTTATGATAATTCAAAACGACAGTCTAAATAATCTATTAGTATAGGAATTTAAAAATCAATAATTGTAATACTGAACCAATTTAAGCCACTTTTAACCGATTTTAATCAGAAGTTTGCCTGAAGTCCTGATAGACCAATCACCTATCCAACTAGCGTATTTGCAAGCCTTATTCCATGCATTGTGTGCCAATTGAAACTAAAGAACCAATTGGTAAAGCAAAGCTTTTCATGTCAGGAAATAATATAGTGGCAGAGATGGATTCCAAACCATCCACTTTGAGACGTCCAAACTCGCCAGGCGATTAATCCCCACAAACACAAATAATTTGTACCTGCTCCGTTTGTTTGTCTTGTTTCTTTATTTCGTTGAGCGACACTAAATACATCCTCGTGATATTGGCTTGAAGACTGAAGTAAAGAGAAAAAGAGAAAGATAAACTAAGAATTAGATTTCTGGTGGTGGGGACTGACATTTGTTTCCCATCGAAATTCTTCTTGTACTCGGGCACCGAGAGACGCAGCAGAAAATAAGCTTGGAATTCGTGACGTCGTGAGAAGACCCAAATGGACGCTCTCTTTTTTCTGTTTGTTCGCTTTTTTCACCGTTGCTACCGAGATACACCCGGAACATACCGGTAACTAAACAGACCATTTTCACAATGTCTTCACAGACACAAATGCCCCAATTCATCTGATTCATCTTTAACTTTGGGGAGTCTTAGTTACCTTCAGATTGCAGATGAATTTCAACGCTTCCTCGGAAGACAGATTTAGACGATCAGCAATTAAACTCTGTTTAAGGAGCACAGAAAGTAGAAGTGATACATTAATATAATTAAATTGATGGATTAATTAATGATTAAAAAACTAACTTGTAATTACTAAACAACTGGCCAACTCTTACGCTCCATTCACACCGACTTAACCAGTTTAATTAAACCAGGTCTAAATGAATGCAAAACAGACACGGAAAACCAGAAAACAGGCTTCTACACAGGATTTAAATGGACTTCACAATGTAAAGCGATTAGCACTAAATTTGCAATCAACGTCGTAGAAGTCAGCAAGCAGTTTTTACGAGGGAAACAATTCTAAACTGTGTTAAACTATATCGAAACCCAAACAACTTTCAAACATGTTTAAGCTTTGGTGTGAATGAAGGTGGCGCATTAGATATTTATTTCGTATAATTATCCATACCCCTACAGTTATTTCTCAAATCAGTACCTGTAATGTTTTTTTGACATCTTCGGCCATAGCAGCAGATCCGCACACATACAAATGCGCTTTACTGTGGAGTATCAGGTCACAAATAATAGAGTGATCTTCCCTTAGAAGATCTTGAACGTATCTCTGCAAAAAAAGCTTTCCTTAGCAAATTTACTGTCGTACTTTAAAGAACGGAAAGAATGAGCGGAACATGAAAGAGGGGTACTGTGGTTGTTTCTGAGAAAAACTGCGTCATTAGTCACCTCCATGAGGTTTATTCATTGGACAAAAACAAACGGGCTTCGTGAGATTTAAATAACGGAAATGGTATGATGTCTTTAATAACCTCTACAGCTGAACTCACCCAGAGTCTGTATTTCTGTTAGAAAAAGATGTTGGTGTTAGTGTCTAACGGCACTTTTTTGTCATTTTCATAATTATTGTCATTGTCATTATTATTGTTATTATTATTATTATTATTATTATTATTATTAATATTATTGTTGTTGTTATTATTATACGTTTACTTTTCACTTCCGCTGTCTTGATACCCGCCGTACCTTGGGCGTCTGATCCTCTCTCGAGTACACCGTTCTTAATTCCGTTATAACTTTCCTTCCCACTGCCTCTTCAGTTTCAGTACGATAAATATCGTCGTGTCGCGGATTTCTGCAGCCGAAGAACAGTCGTATGTCTCCCCACTGTCTTTGACCTGTTATTGCTGACTTTGGTGGACATTTGTTGTTCATATCAAACATTCTCTGTTGCCAGAATGCGCGGAATGGTGCGATACCCGTCCCATTCCCTACCAGGATAACTGGCACAGAGCTATCCGATGGAATGTGGAAGGACTGGGCACTGAAGAAGGCAAGAGGGAAATAATACTTCACTTAAGACACTTGAAAACCCTAGAGCATACTTGAACGCTTGAAAAATTCTTTTCGACTCAAGAGTCACAGGATAACCGACCTTATGCAGCGTAAAAAGCTTACCGTCTAATGTAACAGGGAACCATGTCTCCAGGTTTTAACTCCTGGAGCCACTTGGAGCACACACCTTGATGAAGTGGTCCTTGGCCTCCTGTAAAAAAAATGTAGTGAAAATAATTACGGAGGAGCCTCTGCATATTTGAATTTATTTAAATTATTTTCGAAACAAAATGATACTTTGACATAGAATAGAAAAAGATTTTATACCGCAGGCACTAAAGCGTTAAATTAAAAAGCCTATAACCTATTTTTTTATTTTCTTATCTGAAAGAACACATTACAACAAGAACTTCTTCGAAAACATTTTGCGCTTTTTTTACAAATTTTTGAAAGCGTTCAATTTTGCCGTCATTTTGGTACACTGTTTCCCTTACTCTTCTCTCTGAAAGGAAGGAGTGATCATCGTCACGTGTCTTAAATTACGGACTTGACTTTTTCCTACGGCACGATGCGGCAACATTTCTAAAAAATAACTCCCTTAAGAAGTCCACGTTAGTTAGACGAAACACACAGGAGAATAAACAAGTTTTACAGCTACAGTTCACAGAGTGCTTCTCACTAGTATTTTAAAAAAATGGTAATACAAAGAGTTGTACATGTGAGTATATATCTTTTTCCCTGTTTCCTTAGGTGAAGACTATAGCTGTAAAAATGCCCCTAAATAATTTTATTCAGCGGACTCTAAGGTGAGGTTAAACACATGAAGAAAGTTTAAAAACACAAGTATTTTAAGAAAGATGTTTTTTTCCAGTCTGTGACACAGATTAAGTTAATGTGTTTTAAAAATTGCTTTCAAATTTTATTTTTAAATAAATAAATTTTCTGCCTTGTGCTGTTGCTTTTTGCCACTTACCTCTCTTATAATATTCAACCACCACTGCTGTTACGTGAATTTCGTCTGCATAAACGTCAGGGGAAGACGATATTGAGAAGAATCTCTGTAAAAATCAGTATTGTACCTTTTGTAAGAAGGAGACTGTTAATGACTTTATCATTCATGATTATATTCATTTTGCAAAATCTGCTAAATTTACCTCCGTATAATTACACTCATGCTGATTTTTGTTTTAAAAAACAAATTAAATGGCAAATATAGAGTTAAGTAACTGTCACGCATACGTTTCATAGAATTCATAAACCTCTAATTTGCCCCACGTTTGAACCTCGTGGGCGTGCCATATTTGGGTTGAGTTTGTTGTTTGTTCTTTTCCTTGCTTCGAGACGTTTCCCTTGGTACTGTAGTCTTATCTTTTCAAAAAATCAAGATTTCAAATCGGTTGGGGAAGAGGTAGACAATCAACCATTGAGAGAATGTGCCATTTATTATTTTTATTAGAAATATCACAAATCACGCTGTTTTATGGCCACTGTCTTACCGGTTGCATAGCCGGAAGCTGTGTCAGTAACAAGTCAGCGGTCACTCGCACGGAAGAAAACTCATGCAGAGTCTCCACAATGTTGCACTCCTTCTTTAGAGCCCAGTCTTCATACTCAGATCCACCCTGCATTAAAACATGTCAGAAAATATTATTACTTCTCTTAAGTATGGGAAAGCCTGACTACCTCCTTACTTGTTAAGTAAGACCATTTCAAAACTGATTACCTTACTCAACGTTTCAAGCTTCGTCTTCTCCAGTGGGCTTGTTGCCTACGATAGTATCAAAAAATATTAAGATTAAGTTCTTAAAGTTGTATAAAGTTAGTTAAAATAAATCGGAACTAATGACAAAAAAACATAGTAGTTATTTCACACGTTATGCAAATTATTGTGTAAAATCTAAAAAAATAAACTGTCCCAGGAAACACCCAGGCATGTCAAAGTGTTATGTAAACGTCCAATGATGTTTTGTTTACTCGGTTTATATGTATAAGAGACCTACGGAAGAACTGCAGTGCTAAGAAATGTGGACACTATTGTACAAACTTTAACAGAGTGACTTGATTTCATGTAGATTATCATTTCCAAGCATGTTAGATTAACTTACCAGCTTTGCTAAGTAGCTGAGCATCTGCGGCGTTGGAACACTTGTGATATCGAGGTATCTTGACAACGCTTCTCGTAAAGTGCACCCCACAGAGAAACGATGGAACTGCTCCCACACTCTTGATCCGCCTAGTTAGGTGAAACAACAGATAATTCTTAAATAAAATTATTGAAAAAATTCCGCTCTTAAGGCCACTGACGCTCAATAACATTCAGTAGGAGTTCCACTTTACTTTTTCTAGATTTTTATTTGATTAGTAAGAACCTGAATCCAGAGGGATAAAAACTAATTTTTCATCTTCTAGTTTTCCATTTCCAAGCATTATATTACCAGACAAAGATGGTGAAACCAAATTTATAGTGACAATACTAGAAGATTTTTTAGGGGCTCCTGATTAAGTATCATTTCCACTTACGTACCGTCATTTGAACATTTCTACTAATAAGATGCTTATGGCTTACTTGGATCCTCTCGCGCGACTTCAATCCTGATTGGGCAGTTTGGATCCGGTTTGTCATGCGTCAAGCCCACTAAGTCCTGCACCAAACTGGCTCTGTTAGCAGGAAATATTGCCACGTGATCGCCAGGTTCAAAGGTCAGTTCTTTGCTGTTTCCGTGGATATCCAGGGATACTAAAATTGTCGAACGACTGAGGAAAAGAAAGTACGAAATAAAATGCTGTCAGTTGAAGATTGTTTTAGTTTAACGCTTTCTGCGATGTAAACTTGTAAGCACCATACTTCAAAATAAGTTAAGGCAGCACGATGGTCAACAAGTTGCAATGAAAGAAATATTTTCACGAGCCGATTTTTGTTTTTACGAAGAACTCCCTGAGATTGTTTCTTTGTGTTTTTATAGGAGGTGTGTTTGAAGCTTAAGACAGATACATGTAGTCAGTGCTAAACGCATGATGACACTCCACAGAAAATCGAGACTCGTTTTCAGCGCGAGACTTTTTAGCCAATTTTTAACTGTGGATGAGCGAAAACAATACCTTGATTCTCTCAATTGTAACTCAGTCACTGAAATGACCTTTGCAGGGCAGACAGTTTTGCTGTAAATACTGGAGAGACCTAAACAAATAGAAAATATATAGCGACCAGTTGACAATTTTCATTCTAAAACAAAATCTACGTCCTAAAAGCGACTTACTAGAGCACAAGTCCCCCTCTTGTGTTATTCGGTGTTTCACCCAGCGGTAGAGGCCTGGAAACCAGTCGGTAGCCATGTTTTTCAGTGAAACATTGACGACTTTACTTGTGGCTTCATTGGTCAGACCAAAAGAATCACATGCGGCCTGAAATTGACAGCATTTCTTATTAGACAAGTATTGAGGTGGATGGTTTTCATCAAATCGTTTAACCCTGGGTTCAGTTATTATTGTCTATAGGGATAAAATACGGTAAAATTCCGAAAATAAGCCCCTCCATGTATAAGCCCCTCCAAATATAAGCCCCCCAAAACGGTAACTCAAAAAACCCTCCGTTAAATCGCCCCTCCAAATATAAGCTCCCCGGGGGGCTTGTACTTGGAAAATTGCCTCAAATACAAAGTAAAACAAAGCAAAAACGGTAAATTTACTTCCAACTATAAGGCTAGCCCAATCGATTTTGAAACGCAAATTTCCCTCCGAATATAAGCCCCTCCAAAAATAAGTCCCTCAAAGAGACCCTTTGAAAAATATAAGCCCCGGGGCTTATTTTCGTAATTTTAGGGTAAAAACCCAGAAATTTTCAAATCGAAACCTTCGACATGTGAGCTAGAGCCTGTCAAGTACTTGTTCCTTATGGAATAGAATAGTTTGTTTAAAAGTATTTTCCAACGAGGCAAAACTCCTTTGTTTCGAAACACGCTGCACGTTGTGTTTTATCAGTAGGATGTGATTTATTCTCTTGTGCTGACGCATCCATGTGTGTTTGTTTTGTTTTGTTTTATCAACTTTATTGGTCTGAGTCTCTCTAAATAAATAGTTACAGTAACGAAAAAAAAAAGACCAAAAAGTAAGGTCCAAAAAACGGGACCTGGAGTCCCATGCAGGACACCTCCCTGTGCGTTCGTATTAACACTGTTTAGCACTGTTACCTTAAAAACGTCCTTGGCCCACCCCCTGAACGATTCGTCTTGACCACTCAATTCGTCCCCTTCCCCTATCGGCAAAATTCTCTGGGCCCCAAGCTCTCTCAAATGATCATCCACATAGTGACCAAAGGCGCAGAAATCAACGTACAGCCTGGATCCAAGTCCAAATACTGAATACCTATGAAAGAAAATAACGTTCCCTTAGATTATCCATCCTAGTTTGGGGGTAGGTTTTGACCTTACTTTACAGTTGTTATTTAAGTGGAAGCTTTCCAGTGGTATTTTCTTGCTATTCCATTCAAGGTTTGTCATGTTGAGTCGTTTAAAAAAAACTTGTGACTTTGTTTTTTATTTTTTGCATGCGACAAATCCTCTTTGTAGTTTCTAAAAAGCACATTCTTATTTGAAAATTATCTAAGGAACATAAACGTAACTAATAAGCTGAACAAACAAAAGCTGTGAAAATTGATTTGAAATCAGCAGGAAGGTTAAAATTGTTTGAAGAGCTGTAGATAGATCGATAGATAGATAGATAGTTTATTAAAACTGCATCGCAGCCAAAGGCTGAATTACGCAATTATTTACAAAAACTTCACAATACTTGAAAATTACAAATGAATCCTAGATAATAGGTCGAAAACTGATTTTTAAGATAATATTAAAAATTCTATATAACATATTCATATGAAATATGTTAAAATATAAAGCATGAATATAAGCGGGATAAAACTACAGCCCGGACTGTTTCGACATCGCATATATAAAAGTATTACTTGTTCTGTTCGTGCAAAGTTTTGGCATATAAAAAAGGCGTTGTCGTCTTAGGTTATAGCGTGAGTTGTCATAGTCTGGTAGAAAGAGCGCCTTCAATTTATGGTTTGAATCACTGACAATGTTATCAAAAAGCCTGCTACATAGTACGTAATAATGCTCCAAAATGGGTGTTAACCCCACGTCTATTGCCGAGTTGTACTTTCCTGAGGTTATTATTGATATTGCTCTTTTCTTGAGCTGTACCAGCTCTTTCTTTTTCTGTGCTTACTTAAGATTTGTCAAAGAGGTTTTTTTATTGTTGTTTCTCCTGCTTTCAAGATAACTGGCAAAGCTCGTTCCATTCTCTGGCGATTCTCCGTTACCATAAGTACTGGTCACCACAAGCAAGAGATGTTCCTTATCGAGATGCGCATGGTCATATTGATTCATGCATAATACCTGCCATAAAGTGAACATCTTTCATTTGATAAGTAAATTCTGATTTTTAGTAAAAGTGAAATTCTATTTTATTCTTGGTTTGCAACCACATGGCAAAGCGGCCATGTTGGTGGTCAATACAATAGAATTTTTTCCGGCGCAAAATTTACATAAAAATGGAGTATAGTTTCCTGAGGAGAGGAATGCCTCTGTTCTTCACCGTTAATTGCTGGTTTGCACGTGATGTTACGGTGGTCATGTTGGTGGTCAAAAACAGAAGAATTTCTCTCCTCTGAGAACTAAACTCTATTTTCATGTAAATTCTTAAAGAAAAAATTTTATTGTAATGACCCCTAGCATGGCCGCCTTGTCACGTGGTTGCAAACCAAGAATATAGCCACCAAACAGAGGTCTTTTTTGCATGAGCATGCGCGACTGCTGACTTATCAAAGAGCACGCGACCAGTGACAGCGACCGTGCTGTATAGTCATAGGAACCAAATTGTTCACTTTGAAAGCTTGCTTAAGATTGAAATGGTAGCAGGAACTTAGGAACGACCTTCGTTGTACAAAATAAGTAAAGATCTGTTGATTTAAAGTGGAGACTGATGCGCTGAACGAGGTGAAAGAGCAAGTTTCTCAAGGATGTCTGACACGAACATGGCTGCTTGTTGTTGTCTGGCGCTCGACTCGTGTCTTGATTGCCCTTTAAGAACCGCAAAGTTTGGCATAGAATGCATTGCTGATGCGTAGCTATTGAGCAAAATGTTCTTTATTTAGTGTTTGTCTATAGATCGGATGTAAATCAGTTTCTCGATGCCGTAGAGGATTTCTGTCAATAATTTGTTAATAGCTGATTTAGCCATATTTCGGGAGTGGATTGATAACGATCAGCGGGCGACTACCACGCCGTTATCAGTTGGGAATAGAAAGTTTTTGCCTTAAGTATTTAGCGATACAATGTTTGTTTATAGGAAAATTGTAGAACTTCTTGTTTTTGCGTGGACTAACATTGTAACGCATCTTTTACAGGAATTTGCTTTTGGCCAGAACTTAAATGTTCTAATGTTTTTGAACTTTTGGTCGGCATCACATGTTTACTGTACTTCTTGGGAAACCTAACCGTTTGTTTCATCAAAATCGGTCGCAAGTTTGGACTTTAATTTCGGTCCTATTGAATGCAGTTTTGACTGTGTCTCATTGATATTCATTTTTTTTTATTGTTCGAGACATACAGAGTGACTACCACCAACATTTCAACAGGTGACTAATCTACATCTCGTGTGCTCTTAATTTTGTAGCTTTAAAGTGCTGGGAAAATTGTAGAACATATATTAATTCACTGCTGAACTGAACATCGGCTTTCGCGCACTTCGAACCCACTCGCTGAAATTTGCTATGTTTTTTTTTTTAAATATTTCTCTTCCTTTCCCATTTCAAAACAAAGAAAATTGAAAGTGTTTACTTGCATCAACAAACGTTTCTGCACTTTGTTTAGACTTTGATGAGGTCAGCGCAATCCTCCAGGCACTACATATACGCGCGCTGTTGTCCAGGTCAAGTGGGGAGATGAAATTTGATAGTAGCTCGCGTATGTTAAAGCCGGTCTACTTCGCTTTTGTTAAGACGAAGTTAGAGTTTTTTTTTTTTTTTTTGCAAAGTACACATTTTGTTAAATCACGAGCACATTCGCCAAGACCAACGAGCAAAATAATCGCTATGATAGCTTTGAGACGCGCCATTTTGATAAAGGCAAACCCTATGGTGAGCCTCCATGCACATCGCTTGTTCAGCGGTCGCGCATGCTCATGCAAAAAAGACCCCTGTTTAGCCACCGTGACCTCATGTGCAAACCGGCAATAAAAACGACAATCGTTTCACTAGGATAAGAGTGAATATTATAAGCATGAGTTATTGGTGAACGGGAGAGAGGGTGTAAAGAAAGAGGGTTCTGAGAAAAAGGAAGATAGTCAAAAAAGGAGAAAAAGGAAGATAAGCAAGCACTTGGGAAAGTACGCAGGGAGAGGAGGGAGGAAACAACAAAGGGGACGCAAAAAAGAAGCCCTGTGACTCCTTGCGATGAAAAGGTTTGAAAGAATACTAGTACCGTTTCTCCGAACAAAAAAAAACATATGATTGCGTCATATATACTTTTTTATGAAGTTTTCTGCCCGGATTTTTTGGATCATGGTAGGCAAATGTTTCTTTTCAAATCAGAGCTACAATGAGGGGCAAAAGTGTTGAGACACTTCCGTAAAATGGCCCCTTTTTGAAAAGTGGACATACCTATCCTCTTACCCTGTCTACCCCAACCCCTTCCCCCCAAAATCAATGTTGTATTTTGGGCTCTCAAGTCTTTCTTTTACTTCAGACAACATTGATTCGGGGGGTGAGAGGATTTACGGCGTTTAAAAGGAATGAAAAGATAAATGAACTTAATACTTGATAAAAGCACTCGTTTTAAACAAGTGTGTCAACTAGTTTTGTCCCTGATTGTAGTTTCGGTTTGTTCTCTTGCTGTTTTCCCACTACACCTTACAATAAGAAGTAAATATCATCACCATTATCATCTTCATCGCCATAGTGCGGCCGTAACCGAAACTCCTGTCATAACTCTTCGCCAGAATTCCGGATCCCCTAAAACTGTCCAAAGGGGCCAGTCGAATAAAACCTAACCTAAGACGCAACTGCTAAAGTTTGTAGGGTTTAAATAGAGACAACCAATCCCAGTCTTAAAATGTGAATCCCAGAGTCAAGCAATGAACGCCACCTTTTAATGATTATTTATTGTCAAGTATTTATAAAAATCAATAAGATGTGCATGTTTCTTACGAACAAACCTTTACGTCGAAAGCATGCGACATTATCTTGGCCAAATTCCGAGCGCAGTCTTCCGCTCTGCCGGTCTCTGTGGCAAACAGAATGGTAGCGTTGTGACGCTTACGCAGAACCTTTCTCATGAGAAAAACAGCTACAAGAACAGCTCTGTAGAAAGATCAAAACATGAACTTTTGGTCCGGCGACCTCCACATCTTCAAATAGAGACCGCAGGGCTGTAATACAACCCTTCTCAAGGAGCCCATAACCCGGAGAGTGCAAATCGAACCCTTAGCCTATACAACGGTGTTTTCACAGATCAGTTTATTTTTAGCACCATGTTCGAGTATTTTCTCGAAAAAATGGAAGCTCCGTTCCATATACGTGCACATCCATAGTACGATAACGACAAAGAGAAAATTAAATGCTATCAAAACATCAGTAACAGAGATACTATTTTCTTGTCTCCGATTTTTCCTGGAAGATTTGCAAGACTTATTTTAAAATGATCAAAATTCGCAGGGAAATTGATCTAAAAATTAATTGGTCTTTAAAAACGCCGTTGCATGGGCATAACGGAGTCGCTTACTCTGGGTTATGGGTTCCTGCCTTCTCCGAATGTTCGCGGTATAAGGATAACAAGTTAATACGAAAAGAAGACAATTCCAGACCACAACAGAAACCTTATCTTGCTGCAATTTTTGTCGTGTTCAGTAAATAATCTTAAACGTGTTTTTCATCACTTGCATCCTTTAGCTATTTTAAGAGTTCATGCAACTTTGTTTAAAAATTTTTCGAGAAATTTCAATGGGTGTATAATTTGATATTACGAAAAGATATAAAGATTTCTTTGTTTATATTTAAGCGAGAACTGAATTGTTTTGTTCGTTTTAAAATACACTTACTTGGCCACAGTCCTGAAAGACAGCTTTTTGCTGGATTCTTCAGTCGAACCGTAACTTTCCCAAAGAGAGGGCTGTTTGTAGACGAAAAAGCAATCAATGTACTGTACGTAGCAGAAATGATAATACTTTCTTTAGGAATACACCCAATATAAAAAAAGGTACATATGGATTACCTGGTATTCGAAATTTGGCTTCAAAGTGTAGTTCAACATTTCCTACGTTCAGAACAAAATTAATTTAGTCCTATACTGAACTCAGTGCTATATACTTTTGCAGCATAATGAAAAACGGTTAAAAAGTACATTTAGTCCACCATTTACGGCATCAAGATTCATCAGGGTAAAACAAAATTTGCTGCTCGTATAGTAAAATAAACTTAACCATGTTAGTGCACAAAAATCGACACCAATAATGTTGAATCTTTAGGTTCCCCTTATCGCAAAACGTACATACGATAATAAATTCAGTTTACCTAAGCCTTCCGTTTGAGAGATTGTTCCTTTCTAATTTTTGATTATCCAAAAGGATGAGAAATCAGGGACGTAGCTGGCATGAGGCAAACTAGGTTTGATTTTTGGAAGTAACTATTCTTGAAAATGCCATAAAAGGGTTTCAAAATTCTTTGATTTTCAAATTTTGGGGCGGGCATACCTTTAACCCCCTCTTAAGAGGCTGTCCGCGTAAGAACCGATAAGGCAAATTTCGGTCTATCACGGATTGCCCTGATTTTTTCAGTGGAAGATGACTATCCTATCCCATGAAGAAATATCACATTTATTTGGACCAACTCAATTTTTTCTCTATTTTACAGGAAGATTTTCTCGGTCACCTAAAACTAGTCAGTTTGCCGTCGGAAGTAGTGCGATTTTGGTGAAACTTTAGGGCTCTGTCAAACCTACCTTACATAGCCGAATAATCTGATTATTTTACACACAAAAGTTTTAACTCTCATTAATAGTTTTAATGTTTAATGGCTGCATTCTGTGGAAAGTTGGCTGAGATATGATTTTTTGAAAATGACCTTTAATTTGCTCAGCAGGAAAAGTAATTTGCATAACTAGAGCTGAACGGTAATTTCGCAAAAGTGGCACCTGACCCAGACTCAAGTCTATGATAAATCAGAAGTACTAAGACCAGTCTACTTCTTAACGCAATAAAATTTGTGGGCACTCTTCTTTGCGTGCCGTGCAAAGTTCCGTTTATGTTCCAAAATTCGCCATTTTGACAGCAAAGCTGGAATTGTAACGGTCCGCATCTGATCGACTAATTTCCACAGCTTTAACGTTTCCAGTTATCACTAAATATCATTAGACC